CTAACATCAGACAATGTCATTGCTGCACTTATGAAAGAAGACAGCCGAGATCTAGCCACCTGCAGTAAAACACCTGAAGATAGTGCTTTAGTGTTGTCTTACAACAAATTTAATAGAGACACTAAGAACATATTTTGTAATTACTGCCGTAAACCAGGGCATATAAAACCAAATTGTAGAATTCTTAAAGCTAAATCCAAAGATGAAAAGGCCGAAATTTGCGAGGTAACAATTGTGGTTGATGATCAGTCCGTGACTAATTCTAATTTTGATAATTTGGAGATTAGTGAAACTTTTGTAAACTCTTTTATGTGTAAACCAATTTTTGATAAGTCGCTTCTTGCAAAGAGTGATAACTGGTTTATAGATTCCGGGGCTACAAGTCATATGACTAATAGACGTGATTGGCTACATGATACTAAACCTGTCACGAAAAGTATTAGAATAGCTAATGATCAAATAATTCTTTCAGATGCCATTGGTACTGTAAAACTAAACACTTCCAATATTACCGATGTTTTGCATGTTCCGAACCTCTCAACGAACCTGCTTTCAGTGAACTCATTGGTAAAGAAAGGGAATGTCGTACTTTTTTCGAAATCTGGAGGAAAAATTATTGATGGAGAAACGTGTAAGGTATTCGGAAAAGTTTTATGCACAGCCTCAAATATCAATGGTATGTACAAACTTGATTTACCTACTGCTCACGCGAATTTAACAGAAGTTAAAGAAAATTCAGCTGAATTATGGCACAAACGCCTTGGTCATCTGAACTTCAGATCTATGGAATTGCTTAGAAAAAACTTAGCTCTTGGTGTCAGGTATCCAAAGCCTGCTGGATCTATTAAAGATAATTGCATTGCTTGCGTGGAAGGTAAATTATCAAAGCAACCTTTCAAAACGTCAGATTCAAAATCGACAAATTTGTTGGAAATTATTCACAGTGACGTTTGCGGATTTATGAGTACCCAATCTTTGGGAGGTGCTTCATATTTCGTGACTTTCACTGACGATTTTTCTAGAAAAACATTTACCTACCTAATTAAACAAAAATCAGAAGTTGTGGAAAAATTTCGCGAATTCAAAAGCTTAGCCGAGAACCAAACTGACAAAAAGATTAAAATTCTACGTTCTGACAACGGTGGTGAATATTTGAATTCGGAAATGAAAGAAATTTTGAAACAGTCCGGTATAGTTCACCAAACGACTGTGCCTCACAATCCAGAGCAAAACGGCCTGGCTGAAAGAGTCAACAGAACCTTAGTAGAGAAAGCCAGATCTATGCTCTCAGAATCTGCTCTACCTCAAAGTTATTGGGGAGAAGCAATCAATACAGCGACTTACTTGAAAAATCGCTCACCGACTAAGGCTATTAGAGGGAAAACCCCTGAAGAAATCTGGACAGGAAGAAAAGTGGATCTTTCACATCTTCGTATATTTGGATGCAGAGTTTATGCGCACATACCTAAAATTCTTCGAAAGAAATTTGATGCTAAGGCCAAACTATGCATATTTGTAGGTTATTGCACCGAAACTAAGGGATACAGAGTAGTTGATCCTGAACATCCAAAAATTCTTATTAAGACAAGAGATGTAAAATTTTTTGAAAATGATTTTTTATTCAAATCGCAGTCAAGTGATCAAAATAATATGGTTGATAAAGTTGGAACTCAAGTATCAGAATCCGTCCCTATTATAGTTACAGAAAATTCTGAAAATATACCAAACGAAGGAGAAGTCAACAACATTATTACTGAACCTTTTATAGTTACAGAAAATTCTGAAAATATACTAACTGAAGGAGAAATCAACAATATCGAAACTGAACCTTTAACACACACACAGGTAACTGGAAATGACGACACTGAAGAAGAATTTTATGACAGTGTTACTGAAATTTCGGATAGTACAAACAATCAAGTTTCTCAACCTGTTAGGAGATATCCATTGAGAAACAGAATCCCGAAAAAGTGGTCAGAAGATATAGTTCTCTACAAAGCTGAAGAAGATGATATCCCTTCAACCTTTAAGGAAGCCATTAGTTCTGATGATAAAAATAAATGGCAAGAGGCTCTTCAAAGTGAATATGACTCACTTGTAACTAACAAAACTTGGGTCCTTGTGGATAGACCTAAAAATAGAAAAATAGTCCGTTGTAAATGGGTATTCAAAATAAAGAAAAATGAAAACGGAGAAAACACACGCTATAAGGCACGATTAGTAGCCAAAGGCTTTACACAAACTTACGGCGTAGATTATGACGAAACATTCGCACCCGTTTCACGCCTTTCAACAGTTAGATTACTGCTTGCTTTCGCAGCACAATGGAATATAACAATGGATCAAATGGATGTTGAAACTGCTTTTCTTAACGGTGATCTAAATGAAGAAATATATATGGAACAACCTGAGGGTTTCACTAAAGAATGCAACAAGGGGAAGGTATGCCAGTTAAAGAAAGCACTTTATGGTTTAAAACAAGCGCCTAGACAGTGGAACCTTAAACTTAACGAAGCAATGATGCAACTTGGAATGAAAAGGTCTGAACATGATCATTGCCTATATTATAAAGTTAATGAAACTTGCATGTTAATTGTTGCAATCTTTGTTGATGATTTTTGCATTCTCAGTAATAATGCTGATATGAAAGAAAATTTTAAAAGGGATATTAAACAATTTTTTAAGGTCAAGGATTTAGGAAACTTAAAACATTTCTTAGGAATGAGAATCGCAAAAGAGGAAAATGGTATAGCCATTGATCAAGAAGAATATATTAAAAAGGTACTAGATAATTTTGCTATGACTGATGCAAAACCGGCTAGTACACCTGCTGATCCTAATTTAAAGTTAGTGAATCCTTCAAATGAAGATAAAGAAGCAGCTCAACATTTGCCTTATCAAAGACTGGTTGGTTCTCTTATGTATCTATCTGTAGGAACTAGGCCAGACATTACACATGCAGTAAGTGTGTTAAGCCAGTTTAATTCTAATTATGGGACAATTCACTGGAATGCAGCAAAAAGAGTTCTACGATATTTAAAAGGGACAATGCATCTTAAACTCCGATTCCAGAAGAAAAATATACTCACTCTTACGGGCTATACTGATGCTGATTATGGTGCATGTTTAAAAGACCGGAAATCCTACACTGGATATGTATTTTATTTAAATGGACCTATATCATGGGAATCACGTAAACAACGAACGGTCGCCTTGTCAACAACCGAAGCCGAATATATGGCACTTAGTGATGCTGCAAAAGAATCCATATATCTCAAAAACATATTGAAGGAAGTGTTTGGTTTAGATAATGGTGTCTGTATTTATAGTGATAATCAGGGAGCTCAACTGCTAACAAAAAATAACGTTCATCACTCACGAACAAAGCACATTGATGTTAGACATCATTTTATTAGGGATACTGTTGCTAGTGGTATTATTGGTATACAATATATTCCGACAAATGAAATGAAGGCAGATGTCTTAACCAAGTTTCTATCGAAGCAAAGACATCAGTGTTTAACGAAAGGATTAGGTTTAATTTAACATTTATAATGGCCTATTAATTTATTCAGAAGTAGGGGAAGTGTTGGAACTATTTAGTTTACACACCAACCTTCTTTCATATATCTTTTGATAGGCCACTTTGTTTTTTCTCTTTATATTCTTTGTCATTGTCAGTTTGTTTTTTTTTCTGTTTAAAATATTTATCAAGAAAATACATAAGTCTTTTTATCTTACATATTATTATTTTATTTGGAGTTGAGAGAATACCTATTTAAAGGCAATAAGTTCCTTTTGATTATTGTGTACGATAGCAACCGCAGCAGTTAAAAAATTGAACCATAAAATGAAAAATATAATTTATTAAAATTGTTATTGTCACGCTATTAGAAAGGTACAAATAGCCTCTGTACTTGATAACTCGCTCGCCACACTTTTCAGCTAGGCTGGGAGTATTCTGTCCCATGTCTGTCCTGTTATGATTCCATGTCCATGGCAACAATACAAATGAACAATGGACGATCCGTTACGATCATCGTAACAATACAAATCAACAATGGACCACAAACTAATCTATTAAAATAAAAAGAAATATTTCCTTGTGGATTATGTTTGAGAATGTGCCCAACTGTAAAAATTGAGAAATCACCACGTGATAATAAAGCTATGGGGTTAATGAAAATAAATTGAAAATATTTTCAAGAAATTCACGTTCTGGAAAAAGACCAAACCTTTAAAAAAATAATTTGTTTTTAATTAAATTAATTATCTTTGATTATAGACCCATTTTAACTGTATACTAATAACGATTAAACTAAAGTACTACAAAAATTAATTTTATGAAATATTTGGATTTTAAATATTTCTTTTCTCTATAAAGTCAATAATAAATGTTACTGAGAGAAGTCCTATGGTCCGACTTATATCAATGCAAACATGCTTAGACATAAAGAACAAAGATATTATATATGATTATTACTAACATTTGTATTAGTAAACACTATTTAACGACTTATAATGATTAGATTAGATTGTAAAATATATGTATGAATTAAATTAAGATATATTATGAATACTTGAATTTATTTATAGTAGGTATGTATGTTACACAAACTACAGGAACGTTATGTAATGAGGAAGTATTAAAAAAAATATTAGTTCCCGAAATCTAACTAGATGTCGCCACGGTACGTTCTTGATTTCTCCATGACAACCTTTCCGATTTTCTTACATGTTTAAAAGTAAATTAGTTTCTGTTTGTTCTTTTTCGCATTTGTAATCATATCTAAGTTGCGAACTTTTCAAATTTCAGTTTTCTAATATGTTAGTTAATAAGAACGGAAATGACTGTCGCCATCTAGTAGAGGTGCTTATTTAGTGCTTTCGTTTTTTTAAATACTTCCTCTTTTATGAGGATGCACTATATTTAAGTATAGCAACACTCTTCAGGATTAGAAAGAGACAGACCTACGAATTTCACCAAACTTTGTGAGAGAGAGCATCTTTGAAACTGTGAATGAAATTCTGAATTTCTCCGTAAGTTCGGCCGTTCGATTTATTTTAATAAAATATGATCTTTAATATTTAGATCTCATTGCTGAATAACTTTTAAATATGGACTTCGACTGGACTAATTATTTAGAAGCGAATAAATCTACGGCTGTTCCTGAAGAATTGTTTTCACATGTAAGTAAGCTAAAATGTAGTTTTTTAACTTACATTTAATTACGTTATTGATGTAGACAAATATTACGTAAATTAGTTAAAATGAAGTTATTTCTTCGGCCTACTTTAAATTACTTTCTATATTTCTGTCATCAACTTATTTTTTTATTAAAATGGTACTTTTTATTAAATATGCGTACTGTTCTATTTTTAGCTTTAGGACAGATTAATTGCAAAAATGGTCTTTTTCCTTTTTCACGAATTTTCTACAGATTAGATTCGATTGGTTTGTTCTGAATTTTTATATTTAAATGTTTAGCAATTAACTGTCTCAAACATATTTATGCTAAAATAAACCTGTTCACCACTCCATATGTTATAGAAAATAGTTGCTAAAAATGAAGTTTAGTAATTTTTGCGGACATAATTTACTCCTTTTGTTACTAATTTTATTTTGCCTTTGAAGATAACTATTATTTTTATTAACAGTAATGTGACTATTGGAAATTTCTTAGTAATAATTATTTTTACAGTAAACTAAAAAACTAGACTTTTAAAATAATAAAGCTAAAGTATTTTTTATTCATAAAAAAATAGAAAAAAAAATTACTCCACTAACCTTGATTCTCAAGAAATGTGTTTACCGTCTAAAATAATTTTATTTTTATTTCCTTGAATCGTAAGAATTTTTGCAGCAGTAATTTTTTAAATATATATATTATGTATATAAATAAAGCAATAAAAATATTGCACACAATTTTTCAACCGTCACTTTGATATAAACATCAGTTAGCATCAGGTTTTGACTTACAAGCCTTTGATTTTTTATAGGCAAAATAACAAGACAAAAGTTCTATATTAAGTATCAAGTAAAAGTGGCTTGATACGGTTGACATTTAAATCAACCAAAATTTAATACTGTATTAAACGTAACACTCCGCATTTGATTGAACCTGAAGCATTACAGACGTGCACACTGTATCTAGCAATATAGAATTTAATATTGATTGCATTTTAATTGAATCTGATGCCAAGCATATTAAAATATGGGTACAATTATGTGGTAACTGAATTTGTTATCAAATGTTAAGAGAATTAAATTCAAATTCCTTAACATTTGTATGAATTACACTTATGTAGTTATTGCGTAGAACCACAGGTCTAGATCAAGTCATGTTAGCTGTGACATAGTAGAAGATTGTGAATACTCACCTGATATTTATTTCCTAATACGGATAATATAGAATAATATTTTTTAAGATTTCATACTAAAGAAAGATAAATGATAGGAACTTTTATGGAATTAGTCCGTTATTTGTCTACCTCACAGAAGTTTTCCAAAATTATGCACAAAATCTATCAAATTTAAATTTGGTACATACATATACATAAGTTGTTGATCCAAACAATAACATACATATAATGTATTCATTCAACTCATGCTTGGCCAGTTTATTTTATTATTTACAAACAAACAAAATTTGGAATACTTGTTCCAAATTATTTAAAAAATATATTTTTCGGTAGTTAAGAAATAAATTACTTGTTTTAATTGAAAAGCACCTCCCTTAAGCTACTGTAGATACCATATGTCATCAAAATAATAATTCTTTTTATTATAGGTTGAATCCAGTCTTAACAATGGAATCAAACAGGGTATGCTTCTTGAAGTCTGCCACAAAAACAATCCAGATGTCTACTGGATAGCGGAGATCACAATGGTTTGTGGTCATCTCTTGAGAATTAAGTTTTTGGGCGCAGACACTGATTTCTGGTGTGACATTTCCAATACTAAAGTTCATCCATTAGGATGGTGTGGAAAGTATGATGAGCTTATCGAACCACCTGATGAAATTAATGCTCAATATGGAGATTCTATTATAGATATTATGAAGAAAGCTCTATTGGACGGCCAGTCTGTATCTATTGAAGCTTTGAATAACAAGGGTCTGTCACCAATTGACAGAATCAAAGCAGGGATGAAGGTAGAGGTGCAGAATACTTTAGACCCATACAAATACTGGATTGCTACTGTAAGACATATTTTTATTAATACATACCATCGAATTTTATGATATCCTGATACATAACTAATTATAATTGTTTCTCTCAGGTTAAAGAAAACATTGGTGGCAGGCTGATGTTACATTATGATGGCTCTGATGAAGATTTGCCACAATTTTGGATTTTTTTTTCCAATCCTCGGTTGTGTAGCTTTGGATATGTTACAAACAAGGTAAATAATAAAATATTTTTGTTATTTAATGATAACTGTAGTGAAAAATGCTTATTAATATTGTTATTTTCCTTGTTAAGGGTTCACCATGGCAGTTTAAATATCCAAATAAGATCAATAAATTTTCATGCAAAAATAAGCTTAGTACTCAACTGCGACAATGCGCCGAGGAATCTATCAAAGAACCAACTCCTTCAGATCTATTCCAGGTAAAACTAAGCACAGCAATTACTAATTAATTTATTTTCTATATCCTTAAGGACATAATAACAATAACTGCCTTTATTTACAGCCTATACCTAGTTTAGAAGTACACAATTTCATCACAGGTATGAAAGTTGAAGCTTTAAATCCTCACGACATGAAAACAATACGACCGGCAACAGTAACAAAAGTTTTCAATAACTTCCACTTTTTAGTGGTCATAGATGATCATCTAGAGGATTATGAGGACACAAAAATGGCTTGGCTTTGCGATTCTATGCATCCATATATCTTTCCTATAGGGTGGGCAGAAAAGAATTCAATCAGTTTTAAAGTCCCAAAGATATGGAAAGAAGGGTCATTTGATTGGGATGAATATCTCTCCATGACGTCATCAGTACCAGCACCTGAATACTGTTTTGGGAATAAAGAGCCCTTGAAAGGTTTCGAAGTTAATATGAAATTGGAAGCTGTGAATCCACAGAATCACGAAGAAATACATGTCGCTTCTGTACACTCTGTGGTAGAGCACATGGTGTGTGTGGAACTCTTACCTATAGGAGAAAAGTTTTGGTACGCTCAAAATAGCGACTTACTTTTGCCGGTCGGTTGGTGCGATAGTAACAACTATGCCTTACATATCCCCGATATGTCAAATGTTAATAAAGAATCTCCCAAACCCATTGAAGAGAGCCGGAACATAAAAGAAGATAAGATGTCACAAGAGGAGTGGTGTGACAGGATCTTTTTCAATTACAAATGCTATTCAGGACCATCGATTAGTAGAAATAAACTATCTCAACTTCCTAAGCATGTCGGCCCAGGACCATTATCTTTAGTGTTGAAAGAAGTACTCAATAAAATAATATCTGCATCATATAAACCAGCCAAATTGCTAAAAGATTGGGAGAGCGAAGGTCCACCTGGGGAAGGGATGCGGCTGGAAATGTTAAGAGCAAAGTGAGTACCTTCAATACAATTCGAGTGTTTTTTTTAAAGTTACTGTTAAAGAAGTATTAATATTTATTAAAATGTAGGTAATGTTTCGTCATTGTCAACCAAGTTATTTATAAACGTGTTATTTGTTAGATTAAAGACGAGCACGTATCACGCGTACGTGCCGGTGGCGACTAGCGCGTCGCAAGTCGCGTGCTTCTGCCGCAGCGTGTGCGGTAAACTACAGGCGTGTCCGAGCCTCTTCGGCCCAACAGAGTTCCCTGAACAATGCCCAAATAACTGCCAACAAGTTGAAAAGTCCACCTTCCGTAAGTATTCATGTTACTTCTTCTGTAACCTGTTGTTTTTACTATGAAGGCCATTGCCATTAACCACATTTTCAACTTTCATAAGTGCTAATCAACAACCTAATCATTTATGATGATATTACCATAATAAAATACATTGTAATACGATGAAAAATTAATATAACTAATGTATCGGAATTCAAAATATTCTGAATTAGTAAAAAAACAGAAGAAAGCAAAGATGTTTCAAACTTGTCTAATATTTTGTCCTTATTTTTATCAAAATGAAATTATTATTTTTAAATTCTCTTACAGATAATTTGACAGAACGTCGTGGGAGACCAAAAGGTAGTCTTAACGCGAAAAGGAAGAAGAAAAAGACCACTCCGGAAAAACGCGAAAAAGAGCCGCAACCTTCTCAAGAAACCGAGAGCAACAAAGATGAGTCTGTGAGTGAACATAGTGCTGGTTCGACACCCCCGTCTGAATCGGGCACTCGACCAAATTCGCCTGACAGTGCTCTGGAGTACAAAAGAACCCAAAAAAAGAAACGAGAACCTAAAAACGTCTATCCCAAATTGGAAATGAAGACCAGAGGAGCAAAGTTACCGAACTTTGCACTTCAAATGAAAGAAGCTCATTGGGACAGAAAAGATGTACAGACTATATACAATAATAGCTGTGCTACAAGGAAGCGTCCTCCACCCGACAGTGACTCCGAAAACGGAACTAATGAAAGCAGTTCTAATTCTAGAGATGCCAAAAATATATCAGATGTTTCAGATTCCGAAGAACCTGAGCTGAAGAAACTCAAATTCACGCAAAACGATCCCTTACCCTCAGATAACAAACATTTTGAAAAAGATTTTGCTATGACCTGGACCAAAGATAAGCTTAAACTATCTCCAAATCCTTTGGAATGGTCGGTAGATGATGTGTATACTTACTTAAAGAGCACAGATGATTGTAATCTGGTAGCAGAGAAGATGAAGCAGGAAGAAATTGATGGTGAGGCTTTTATAATGCTCGATTTGCAAACAATTAGAGATTTCCTTCATATGAAAAAGGAGTTTGCAGTTCAGCTTTGTAAACACATTACTAGAATTAAATGGTATTATATAGTTAATTTTGAAGATAATGTTTCAACGTGATAATTTGTTCCTGTATTTTATTAAGTATGTTTTTCTAGTCCACAATAAAACATATGATATTTTCTAGTAATTTATTTTCATCAATGTTTTAGATTTCAAAATAACTTAATTTCTGCGAAGCTTCTTGCAAATATAATTGCAGATTTTAGAAATGAAAGATTTTTTTTCGTCTTTTTCTCGCTCGTGTGTAAAATCTTCATCAAGGTAAATGTTTTTTCTCGCAAATGAAGCTTTAACAGGTATTTCTCGATCAGGAGCCAAATGCAGCTCTTGCTGTTTTACATATTCTTCGAGTTCTTGTTTCTTATCTGAGAGTTTTTTCAAGTTTTCGGCTGATGCTACATGGAAATTATTCTGCGCACGGATTGTGTTCTGAATATTTATCTCTGATAATAAATTGCGGTCGTTCCTTCTTATTTGGACGCACGGAGCACCGCTCAGTAAGTATATGTTTAATATTTCTTCTTTCTTGATACTACTAGCATTTATGGAATGGTCCTCAAACGGGGAATCGGTTTGATAATGTTCATTTTTATATGCTTCAACGACGGAATGTAAACTCTCTAAAAGTTTTAAAGTTTTTTTATTAGTTGCGCTACTGGTAGATGAACTTATGCGCACATCCTTATTCTTGATTGCTGCTGTAGAATTTTCCACCCTTTTACAAACCTCATGATTTATGTTAGAATCGGAAGACATAATATGATTAATCATGTCTTTTATAAATGATTCCATATCACCTACAGCGTCTATTTTATTCTTTGCTAAAATTTCTTCAAATCTGTTTTTGTACACTTCAAAATCTCGCATGCTCGCGTAGAAATTATCAAAAATCTCTAGTACAGTAGTTTTAAAAAATTTTATGTTTGATTCTAAGCTGCTAACTGAAGAAACATCGGTTTGGAGTTCTTCGGATATAGTATTATATATCTTCTTCTCTAACTTTTCTAGCTCTGAATTAGTTAATGTTACATTGGGACAGTCCCCAGCTTCGATTTCGTGGAAGCCGGAATTAACCAGTTTGTAATCTTCTTTGACTGGAATCATGTCATGCTCATAATTTTTGTAATAACTATTAACAGAGTTGCTGTCTCTGTAAGTAGATGAACATTTCGATACACCAAAAGTGCAGCAACCACCAGTCTTTGGCTCGGGGGTAGTAGAAATATTTACGTCCGACTTCCAAGAAGTTTTGGACTGTTGAGAATCATTTAATGATACCTCACCATAAAAACTATGACGCTGTCCCAAATTGCCTGTATGAAAAAATATATTATAAAGTAATAATAAAAGGAAATTAAGTATACACGTTAATCCCAGAATAACATTGAAAGTCAGAACTTACTCATATTGCTAGTGTAGATAACAGCAAAGGTAACTGCCAACATTACAGGAAAACATTAGTAAAATAAGAAAGTAGGTACTGTGACGGGTGAATTCTAATAGTTTCATCAGTTATAATTTGATTAGAAATAAACCAATGACTCAGTATCATAGTATCGGTAAGTAATCATTACATTAATATAGAAAAGGCGCATTGTCTTGCCTACCAGTTCTAAATCAGGCAAAATTAGGATATAAAATAAAAACAACTAACAAAACCATACCTTTGAGTTTTTAGATAGCCGTCTAAGTAAGGTAGCTATCAGCTCGAAAAACAGTGCGCGCTTTAGCCTTTAACAACAGTACGAATTCATAACAATGCAAAAAATTTCGATTCCCCTCACTTTGCAACGAATTTAGAATGCAATATGGATGTATAATTAAACATTAGGCAAAAATGATAAAATTCATCGCAAAAGATAATGGTATGTCTTTATTAAGAAACGTCAAAAATGTAAAGGAGTAGCTATTTTAGAATAATATTTCCTACCAGTATTAAGCGTGTCAGAAAACTATTCATTTTCTTCTTATATTAATTATTAGCTTATCTGCGCGTTTCGCACTGAAATGCTGTAGATACGAAGTGTCGATTGCAAAAGCAGACCGGTGGATTTTTTTAGACAAGCATCAAGAGAGATGACGCGAAATGAAATCGTCTTCCAGAAACTATTCCAGACTTTGAGCCGTGGACGCAACAAAAGACCGATTTAAATATAAAGAACGGATGGATCGAGCGAGCGTAGTTACTCCTTTATCCAGAGACAGAAACGTATCGTGGGCAGCTGATTTTATACCTATTATCTACTGTTGACGATATTCATTTACCCAACCCTTGGCGCAGAAGTCTTGACTTGCTCCCTTAGAACTTGGCACATGTTGGTACGTACATATGGATAAAATCTATGATCTAATTAATGCATGTATGGTGTCTGGCTGGCTGGTCTGACTTGCCTGTTGCAAAACGCTGGTTCGAATCCCATCGGAGTCGTATTTTTGTAACATACCTACTTATGTAGTAGTTTATAATCGCTATAAATAGGGGTTGGAGGCCTCTAACGGCATAAAAGCGGTCTCTTAGTTTAACCGACTCCAAATAAAAAGGAGGTTCTCAATTCGACTGTATTTTTTTTCTGTTCGGGTGGACCGATTTTGACAAAACCATTCGTCTTAAATTTGCATTAAGTATGGGTTATGTTTCATCATCATCAGCCGTAAGACGCCCACTGCTGAGCATAGGTCTCCTTCATAGATTTCCACGACGATCGGTCCCGTGCAGCCCGCACATACTTTTCACAACATAATTTATTTAAATCGTTTCAAATGAAGATGCTCAAATAATATTGATTGGACTTCTCTTGGCAATTGTTTCATCATATATTTTTTGTTCTTTTTTTATAGTTGCTAAAAATCGTAAGGTTTCAGCTAACCTTAATGCATGATGACTTAAAGTACAGCTCGTTGATATCAGAACCCCTGCTATCATAAATTATACCAGATGTCTCTGGTTAGGGCTATCTATAAATGTTTAAAACATTATATAAAGATCACGATTTATACAGTGAAGTTATTTTAGGTCGATGACATTATAATTAAAAATCATCTTTCTTTTCAAAATTAATTTCGTAATAATCCCTATTGTGTATCGGCTACGCACGTGAAATTGGCAGTATTGTAAGGAACGCGCAAATAAGCTATTAATAAAAGAAGAATAACAAGTTATTTTAACAATGTGTGTGACATATTGTATTACAGTGAATTTTTATTGTAGTGAAGTCTAAAAAGTCACTATCCCTTTGTTACATAAGAAACTTTAGAGTCCCAAATCATACTACGTAACTATTTTTGGTTGTGACAGATGAACCATCTTAATTTGGTAGTATAGGTACTAACCCATCTGTTTTTTTAAATTAAGAAATCAATTGGTCCATTTTTTAAATATTAAAGGATTCTATTGTCGATTGATTTTTATTTTATCTTACATAGGGAAGGAAAAAGGTTAAAATCATCTTAAATAATAAATGGGTACACCCCAATAAATGGATAAGTTTTAAATTAAATGTAAAAAATACAATAACTTAAATCAATTTATTATACAATTCAAACAAGACATATGTAACTATTATGTTTTCTAAAAAGTCATAAAATTTATTCATTTGTCTGGGATACTCTCCAGCCCCTGAAAAAATAAAAAAGTATGCTTAATATATGTAACATGTTTTGTTATTCAATACTGTTTATATTCTTACATACATTAACTTTGTAAGGGTTACCAGTAAGCCTCATATCTCTCTGGTACTGAATGCGGTCCCATCTCTGAAGGAGAGTGCGCCGATAGTGCTGTAAATAAAAACATCTTAAAAAGTTACCACTTGATAGGTTTATAGTGAATGAGCTTGTTTCTACAAAATAGTCAATATGATAATAATATTGAATAATTAAATAAAAAAAAAAACAGGTAAAAAAGGACATGATTCCAAAATAAAACATCTTTTAATCTGTAGTATATCGCTCACTATTATTGATTAAAATAAATTGAATAAAATATGCATGAAAAACTCTGTCAAAATGTAGTTGTTGCTTAATTATCCTTGGATTGATTTCCTTATTTCAGTAAAACTATAAATTATAAAGTTTATTAAATGAAAAAATATATATTTTCAATCAGATTATTTAATTTCGTTAAAAACTTTCATTCACTCTTATTCACTCATTCTTTTGTCAGCTCATTCGCGCCAGTGAATGTTTCATAAAACAGAAGATCAAAGCTAAGTGGAGAGTGAACCAGTAGAAGATAGAATAAAACAATTAAAACACTTTTGGGTGTTTATTTTCAGTGTTCTGTGTTAAAATCTAGGAATCCGTGGCGTTATTAGCAAGTTGTATGGTACTGTACCGTACCGTACCGTTTGGTGCTTAACTTACTCTCAAATGGTTACCTAATAATAAGGTTATAATTTATTTACTCACGTTTCCTAAAACGAGATTGTGTATGTGATAAAGAGCCCATCCAGGCAATCCCAAACCTGCCGTTATAATGAAAGCACTGGGAAGAATTTCGTACCACATATTTTTTGAAAATGGAACAAAACACCAAACAAGTAAAGCGATTCAGAGAATGACAATGACAGCAAACTATGTGTTGCCACCAACAAATAATTTTGTATCAGTTCGCCAATGTAACCAGTCTAACGGTGAGTATTTTAATGTATACAGGAGTTTGTGTACCTTGATCGAACATTTTCCTTATTTGAAATATTCCCGCGCTATTAAAATTATTATTTATTACGTTTATGGTATAAGTGGGCGTGCGGCAACAAACGCCGAATCTCATTTGTTGTCCGTTTGTACGCACAGTCTAGACTAGGGTTGCCAGCCGTACTATAACATCATTAACGAAGGCGCCTAATACGATCTTTTATAAAATTTCAACTGCTTTGCTTAGATAGATAGCTTATTTAAATGTTGTTACTTCTGAAGAATGGATAAGTTTCTTGCACTTACTTTTGGAAGACAAAACAAAAATTTAAAGATTCAAAAGACTTTCAATGACCTAATTCGTTGAATAAAATATAATTTCTTTTTATTTCAAAGCGTGTATATCCAATCGCGTTTATTAATTTCTAGTTGAGATCGTCTCAAACTGTACTTATGGTTTTATTTGAGCTGCAGAATTATAATTTATGTTGTTTATGCTCAGTTGAAGGCTAAAAACAAGAACCAATTATTTTCCATAATAAAATCCCTACCATATACTTTAATTTGATTTTTTTCCAAAGCTGTGACGAGTAAAAGTAATTGTAGTTTGATACAAAATTATTTCATATGCGACCCCAATGCTACAGTGGCCAGTCCTGCTCCTGCTGAAACGGGAAGGGTAGACGACGCAACCGCTCAGAATTAAGAGCAGATCAGGGGATTACTTGAAGAGGCGATTCTCGAATCTCGCGAGCTCCCACTTGAGGAGAGGCCGAAAATCCCGAGGATACCCCTAAGTCTTAAAAATCGGGATGTCGTTGAGGCAGTAAGCCAAATGCTTCTTCCATACTTGGAAGAAAGCGGCAGTCTCTGTGATACCAACTCGATCCTATTTGGCGCCGCATTGGCGATCTGTCGATTCATCGGCGCCAAAGTGCCCGCTGGGAGAGCTGAACGCCATACCAATGCCCGGCACAGCGAGACTCCGGCGTGGCGTAAGAGGATTGAGAAACGTATTGCTGAGACCAGAGTCCTCATCGGCAAACTGATTAGTTTTAGGTCAGGCAATACGAGGCCGAGGGTGATGCGTTTCGTACACATGGCAATGGCGGGGATAGATTTCAGTCTTGCAGACCCCGCCTTAATGCGAAAAGTATCGGAGCGCATCGATGACCTGACACAGAAAATTGCGGCTTGGGGAAGTCGGATACGGCGGTACTCGGAGAGAGGGGCAAGGTTTCGCCAGAATCATCTCTTTGGGAGTGACCAAAAGAAGTTTTACCGTACATGGGAGACACGAGCAGGCCCCTCCACTGGCCAAGGACCGAATGTCACAGATGTCATTGCCTTTTGGCGGAACATTTGGTCCCGGCCTGTGGAGCACATGGAATAGAGGGTGAATGGATGGCGCCTATAGAGGAAGCGTGTGCATCGATAGATGCGATGAACCCCATCACCATAGAGTCGGATGACGTGTTGGCTGCGGTCCGTAGAGCTCCGAACTGGAAAACTCCAGGGATTGACGGACTGCACCACTACTGGTTGAAGAGTTTCCGCTCATGCCACGCATTCCTGGCCCGCCAATTCCAAGACGCCCTAGAACAGCGAAGTCTCCCAAACTTCTTAACAACTGGGGTCACTCACTTAGCTCCAAAGTCCACCAATACCGCGGATCCGTCACAATACCGCCCCATAACGTGCTTGTGTACCACCTACAAAGCACTGACATTCATTCTGAAGGCTAAGATTGATGCTCACGTTGAGCACAATCATATCATGGTGGACACTCAGAATTAATGCAGGGGCGGGAGCCGCGGTTCAAAGGAGCTTCTCCTGATCGATGCGGTCGTGGCCCAAAAGGTCAAACGCAACTTCTCTGCAGCCTGGATAGATTACAAAAAAGCGTTTGACTCGGTTCCCCATACGTGGTAGAAGAGGGTCCTCGAGCTGTACAAGATTGATAGTACAGTCCAAAACTTCCTCGAGACCTGTATGGGGCAGTGGAGTACGCAGCTTAGTCTGTTCGGGGTGCAGCCAGTTACCCTCCAGTCCGCATTGGGCCAGCGTGGAGGGTCATGGCCCATCCTCCTTAACCATCCACAAGGAAGGCCTGAGCCCCTGCAGTGGGGACGTAAAAGGGCTGGTGATATCCATGTGGATAGAGGTCGGATAAGTGATTCCACCCAAGTGGACCTACCGGATGGATCCACCATCCGTACCCTCTCCGAAACTGATACATACCGGTATCTGGGTATGTCACAGAATCTAGGTGTTCATATGGCGGACGTGAAACAATCCGTCAAAGAGGCCATTTTGGGACGCCTGACTAAGGTGCTTGAAAGCTACCTGTCAGGCGTCAACAAAGTCAGGGCCTTTAACGGTTGAGTCATGCCAGTCCTAATGTACACCTTTAGCATACTCAGATGGACTCAGACCGAATTGGACGCCCTGGATCGGAAAATCCGCACAACTTTGACACTCCATAGGATGCCCCACCCGAGATCGTCAGTGATGAGGCTGTATATCCCGAGGAAAAGCGGCGGTCGTGGGCTCTTCAGTGCGAAAACCCTGCACAACCGCGAGATATAATAGAATAGAATAATGACACCATTGGTCTTTAATGTGCTTCTTTTTGGACTGATATTTGTTTTTTTAATTATCAACTGAAATTATCAAGTTTAACTAGATTCTTGTACCTTATCTCGTGCCTTATTTAAAATATATTGTGACTGATTTAAAATTTCATATTGAGATGAGATGAGACCACCCCACGATCGAGATAAAAGTAATCGCTAGTTCACAGATTTATATAATCTTTGTTAAAATGATGGTGAATGAGGAAGTATTTAAATAAAAAACATTAGTTCCCAAAATCAAACTAGATGTCGCTATGGTACGTTTTTGACTTCTCCATGACAACCTTTCCGGTTTTCTTTCAAGTTTGAAAGTAAATTAGTTTTCAAATTTCAATAAACAACTCATATTCTATTTTTACCCGACTGCGTGACGCAAAGGAGGGTAATGTGTTTATCAGTCTATGTATGTATGTTTCTTTTTTACCTTTATGTATGTACGTTTGAAATAGTTTTATATTATGTGTGATTTGTATGATTTTTTAATGTATCGATTATAAAACATTTCAGTTGTGTAGTTATTTAGTATAACTTAACAGAATTCTAAACTACTGGGCTTGTTTCTTTCTTTTTAGTTTTTATTTAACTTATTTTTTCATGTATTTTTTTTAAATTCGTTTTTACGCAGTTGGGTTTTTATGTTTTTCTTTAATTATTTTTTCGTATTTGTATTGATATCTAAGTTTCAAACTTTTCAAATTTTAGTTTTTTAATATATTAGTTAAAAGAAACGGAAATTAGTATCTTTGGTACATTCGTTTCCAGTAAAAATCAACTTTTACTAGAGTCGTCATCTAGTGTAGGTGCTTTTTAGTGCTTTATTTTTTTTATTATACTTCCTCATTGGTGATTTCGTTTTAATGTTGTATTGAATAAATCATTAATCCATACTGTGATATGAATAACTCATTAGATGTTTGTAAATGCTTCATTAGGTTGTTTAATTTACGTATCTAATGAAAATACTTACAACCTCAAAATACTTGAAGTATTTCAAACACACAAACTTTATTTTGTTAATCATGAAAAAGTTCAAATATTTTAAATTTAACACTTTAATTTTTTAAATATAAAGTAAACTTAAAAGTAATGTATGCAAATCTCAACACTATTTTTGATTTGCGATTAAGTGGCAACTGGTAACCCACTAAATGTCAGTTGAGTTAAATAAAAATAATTTTAATATTGAATATTTCATACGTTTTAGTATTATTTGGTTAATATTAAATGAAATTCACTCAATAGAAAATAAAGATTTCTTTCTTCATAAAAATAATGTTTCTTTAGTTTTATGATAATTTAATTTACACCACAACGATTCAAAAGTATTTTTTAAAAGTTTATTTCGAATCTAGATACCTTCATAATGGAAATAACTTACATTCCCAAGAAAAAAGTAATGCGCCCACCATAAACCATATCCTGGTAATCCGATACTTGCAGTAATAATTACCATCGATGGAATTATTTGAAACCACATGTTTCAAATATGTTTTCAAAAAAATGCTTACCGTTTTGTGATTCTGACAAGATTCTGAGCATAAATCAACGTCAAAGATACGGTTAGGTTTTGTGTTTTGTTTTGTAATCAAAGAGTAGAGCAAGGATAATTTAAACACTAAGTTAAAAATGACATCTTAAATCTGAAAACAAGAATCATATTAAAGATATTTGTCTAAACCAAGGCTAAACTCTAACTGCGTTATTAATAAACAAGATTTAGCGTTGGAGTAAATTTACGCTGAGACTGCACTTACAATTAGTATTAGTCAAAATTCATATTAATAAACAGAGACTTAGCAAAGGTTAACCTAATAAAAGGTTCTACAATGAAAAAAAAAATGTGTACAATGAAAAAACCCTGGTTGGCTGTATCATTGATACAGCCATATTTTATGCGTGGATACGTCTATGTATGAATGGATATATGAGTAATTGATAAAAAAAAAAATAAACAAATTGAAGACACTAAACACTAAATAAATAAATATTCGTTGCGTTCATTTGTTGAATGAAAAAAGTATTCACTAGCGCCAACAGATGGCGTTAGTGCATATACTCCTGCTGACAGAATGCCCCTCCGCCTGCAGAGCAAGCATAGTTCACTTATACGCCAATAGATGGCGTTAGTGCATATACTCCTGCTCACAGAATGACCCCCCTGTAGAACGAAAACATAGACGTATCCACGTCAAAAAATGTTTTGGCATATACCTTCCGATGTTTTGTTTACCTGTTAATAACTCCCGGGCTAGAATAACTTTTAGTAACGGGCCAGTAGTTCCGAAATCACCAGCTGAGATCGATTCAACTGGCTACCGGATATAATTACCCAAAGGCAATGCAGATTCTGTATCGAATGCAAAACTATGTGATGTGTCATGTTAACATTGTGACGTAAGATTGTATTTTAGTAAGCTTCGTCTTCCAGGATTTTTTTTTAATTTGTTATTTGTTTAATTACATTGCTTTCAACAGTTGATCCAAGTGTTGTATAACATTGTTATTGCATATTTAATTTGGCAGAAACCAAATTACTATAGTAATTGTTCTTTCTATATTATCTAGTACTGTCCGTTTTATAGGAGTCGTCATTGCGATATTGTTTTGTTTGGTTGTTGTTTTGGATTCACCTATACCCCCCAAACAAAAGCTTTTTGCTGCTTTAATTGATTATCATTCAAATATAATATACTATTATATATTGTTAGACCTAAAATATCGAATTTCATTTACATCACTACTGGTCGATTATATTACGGGAATAATAGAATAGAATAGATTTTATTTGGCAACACACATCACATACACAATTAGATATAGAAAGGTTATAGAGAATAACTATATATCAGTGAGCTGTCTCTATCACTTTGAACATTGACATAAGATGAGATTCCCTACATTATACCACTCGGGTGAAATATTAAGAGTATTGGAATCAGTTTAAAGTATAAAATAAACATATTAAACCGATTAAATTTTTTTCATAGTATTTAAATATCATAGTCAGTTAGAAAATAATGTCCCTTTATATACTCTAATTTTTATTTACATCGACGCAATCACATGCGAATGCGAAATTGAACAGAGTTGTCAGACAGACCTTTTGAGAAACAAAATTCATGATATTCGGATAGTCATTAAAAATCGGGACGAAAGCAATCCTGAATAGAATGTCATTTTGCAAATGTAAACAGACTGAGTATGGCAAACTTTTGTTCTATTTCATATGAATTTCCTAACTAGCAACATTTATTATCGAATCATCAAAAATGGCAGACGTCCCGACTGACTGTGATTTTCCTATTTGGGGATTATTGCCGAAAAAAGAGACTGGAGTTGTTTCATTTTTAAATAAGAATCCAAATTATGATGGAAGAGACACTGTAATTGCTATATTTGACTCTGGAGTGGATCCAGCGGCGACTGGCTTGCAGGTAAAAATATGACTTGTCACCTTAAGTTTATTTGTAATGTTATGGGTTTTTATTAATTTCTTTATTTTTTTTTTATTTATAGGTCACTCCTAATGGAGATAGAAAGGTTATAGAGCGATTTGACTGCAGTGGTTGTGGAGATGTTGATACTAGCACGGTTATAAAAGAAGTTGTGGACGGTTGTATCACCGGCCTTACCGGTCGAAAGTTGAAGGTACCATTTCCATTTAGTATGATTATATTTAGTTGATTTAAGAACGTCGTTGTTGTTTAGTAATATTCGTCCATTGAAAATTATGAGGTATGATGATTTGGTGATTAGACCTTTTGATTGTTGTAGATTACTTCTTGAAACTTTGGATCAATAGTTGATTAATACATTTAAATTTCATATTTGCTTTCAGTAAATTAAAATTGTGTTCTTATGTATCATAAAATCTAGTGATTACTTTCATTCATATCATAGCAACTTAAAGCATATTATCAACACTCACATCATAAATTAAACCACAGTAAGATTTTTATAACATTATCTTGTGTATTTGATGTCTAACTCTACATCAAATGCATAAGATAATACCTGATAGTATTACTTATTTACAATAGGGAATCATTTGTATTTAAACTGATACAACATTTAGTAGACAGTTGAACCTAGAGTGATGATTTAATTAATTTTAAGTACATCATTTTCCAAAGTCATTGAATTAGATTTTTTATAATTTTCAATTTTCAATTTGCATCATAAATTATTAATTGCACAGAAATATATTTGGTAAAGATATATTACAGAGTGAAACATGAATCATAAAATCTAATATTTATATTTTCTAGATTCCTGAATCATGGCAGAATCCATCCAGTACTTATCGTGTGGGTGTTCTTTATCCATTTAGCTTGTATCCAACAAAACTTAAAGAACGTATTCAGGAACATCGCAAGGAACACATTTGGGATGTTGGACACAAACCAGCATTTGCTGAAGCTAATAAAGGCTTGCAAGAATATGAAAATGAATACTGTAAGTGACTGTATTATAAATAAATAGTAAGTTTTAGGATGTAACCTGAATCAGAAGCCGACAATGTAATGTTTCATACAAAAGTGCTGTACTGAGCCTAATACTATTGCCCGCCAAAGAGGTAGGAAGTTTGAATAACTATTTATCCTTAATAAAATTTCACAGAATTATATTTTAATTATCATTAAGAATACTTTGCACAATACAAGGTTTTGCCATCTTATGTCGGATTTTGTTGAACAGTTGATGAATTTATGAAGTACAATATGAATGTTTCATTGGTCTAATATTCACTCAATAATATTTTATTATAGCCTCAAAGAGTTCCAATCTTGGCCTTATGGAGAAGTTTCAGAAAGAGGAATTGGAAGCAAGGGTTGATATTCTCCAGAATGCAGAAAAGAAATATAATGATGTCGGACCCACTTATGATTGTGTACTCTTCCATGATGGAAATGTGTGGCGGTAAGAATTCAATTAGATAGTTATTTAGTGACCAATAATAACTTTTCCATTCCTTTTGTCATGTTTTCTGATGTGACAATCAAACAAATATAAGATATAATTATACATTATGGAGCTACCATATATTTGTTTTTACTGTAATTTGTCTAAAGTCGTAAATTATATGAATCTTTGTTGGGAAACCGTAAATTCTTAAAATATAACATATTTTCAACCTTATATGACTAAAAGTTTCTACAAGTAAACAAAAAGCTTGATTTTGACAAAAGCTTCGCTAAAAAGTTATAATTACTTTATAATTACCAGTGCATGCATCGATACATCAGAGTCTGGGGACTTAGCATCTGGACCACTTCTTGGGGAGTACAGTATAACACAGGAACACACTCATTTAACTCCATTAGATGAAATGACCATCAGCATTAATGTTCATGATGAGGGACAGACTCTAGAAGTTGTTGGAATGTGCTGTAAGTATCTGTCGTTTTTACATGTCTATTTGTTTAATTAATTAATTAAATGTATATACAAGTAACATATGAGAAGAATAATAATGAAATCATGAATTAATAAAATGAAATAATATGAATAAAAATTTGTAACATATATTTGCCATGATCAGTAAATAGCAGTTAGATTTTTTGCCTTGTGAAAAGTAAAAATCTTAAGTTATTGAGAATAATCAGTTGAGATTTTGGAATTTCTCAATTCAGAAACGCGTATCGTTCGGTCGGCTGATTACCATCGTGTATGGCTAATTATGATGCTAAAACCAGCCTAAGACATGCTTTAAGCAAAAAAAAAACGATATGGCTTTTTTGAAATTCACAAGTGCATGCTTGCATCGGCCTGTACACGTAGTATGACGAACATTTCTCGGGTGCGTCCATACGGTATCTCTTCTGGATCCGAGAAAAGTGATGTTTGATTTACACAAAGCTTTTCACTAGTTTGTCATCATACACACACAGGACTGATATGTTCAGATTGAGTTGTTGAACTGGCTGGCTTGTTTTATAGCGACTCATGGTACACACGTAGCTGCGATAGCCGCCGGCTATTTCCCCGACAACCCTGAGTTAAATGGCGTCGCTCCTGGAGCCAAGATCGTCTCTTTGACTATTGGAGACAGCCGACTGGGATCAATGGAGACGGGTACTGCTCTGGTGCGAGCCTGTATTAAGGTCATGGAACTCTCGAAAAGGATGAAGATTGACGTCATCAATATGAGTTATGGAGAGCATGCGCATTGGTCTAATGCTGGGTAAGTGAAAATAGGTCTGTAATATAGAAAGGTTAGATCATGGCACACAGTTCAACTTACGGGACTTTACTTTTTTGCACGTAACTATAGTTATTCAGTATATGATACTTTAGATAGACCATGACTGTTTTGGCATGGAAAAACACCGTTTTGGTTCAAATGAGTTATTAGTTTCTAATGTATAGTTTTCTAATTTTCTTTGAACGTTTACTATAACACCATGTTAATTGCTTGAAAATTCAGAGTCTTGATAGACAGAGATGGTCAACAAAGTCATCCAATAAGGATTCGATTTACTGTTTGAGTTATGGGACCTTAATTGTTTTTTTAACCCTGATGATGACGTATTTTAAACACTCGCGCTTCGAATCTTTAAAAACTAAAAATCAGCATATGCGCCGGAGAAATGGCGCTTCGTCTGTTTGTTTAAGATACGTTACGTATTCGGGGTTTAAGAGCTATTGTACATTACGTTTTTCTAAGGCGCCGAGAACGCGTGTTTTTTGATGAGCGCGTCCTCTGCTCGTTATTAGCGCTTTTTAGCAGATTGTGCGCGTTTGGATCGATGCAAACTCAAGTCGAGCGCGCTTCGTACGCGCGATTGTATCGGGACAAACGTAACTCGAACTCGCGACAAAAAGTAACTGCGGAGAAAGGGGTATGGGGGAGGTGTACGCACACGGCCGCCGTCGTAATACTGTGTTTACAATAGGGATGACGACTAATTTTTGTTTGTTTGTCTGTCAGGTAGATTATATATTTATTTTTCGCGTAATCTATAAATTACAGTGATACATTGAGTGTTTAAGTGTAGCATGACGTCACGCTTTTGTAAATTTTCTACAAAACTGACGTATTGTGCTCCCACTTCTCAACTTTAATGTCTATTGTTTAAGCCATTGTTTAAATTGAATTCTCTATTATCGGACTGACGGACTTAAAAAAAAATCCTTTTTTTTTACTTTCATCATCCCTATAAAAAAAGGCTTCTGCGCGTTAGTGTCGCGATAAACGTGCATTCTAGCAAAATACAAGCGCGAGCGTCGTGTGCACAGGTCACAACGCGTCGACGGCCCCGCGTTTGCTAGGCGTCTAATTGCGTTAAATATACGTCGTGTGCAACAGCCCTTAGTGTTGAGATGTAGCGTGTGTTGTGTCGTGTAGGCGCGTCGGTGAGGTGATCTGCTCGGTGGTGAACCGGTACGGGTGCTCGTGGGTGGTGTCGGCCGGCAACCACGGACCGGCGCTGTGCACCGTAGGGGCCCCGCCGGACATCGCGCAGCCGATACTCATCGGTTAGTATTTTAGTAGATACGTTGTACTTATCCGGTATCACTCCCAATTGAGGGCGATCAAGGGTTTTTAGTGTAGGGTGTAGTGTAGGGAAATTAGTGTTCGGCTAGTGACTTAGGCTAACATTAACCGCGGCTCAGACGTTACCCATGGATGGAATTGAATCGAATCGAATAGGGTAGTAATAATATTATTATCACATATGCGGGTACAGCTAGCAGATTATGAATCTGTATACTTGTTATGGATTTCCTGTAATCTATGGACATTGATGGGGAAACAGTCCTAGTTCCTTGAATGACTTCATAAAATATCGAAAAATATTTTTTTTAATATGTCACATTAACAGTTTGCGAAACGTTTTTCTTTTCAAAGATGCCGCCACGTTTCAAAATAACTTAATAGGGATAAGTTCTGTTTGTCTGTCCGCGTTATTGAAAAATATTAAATACGATTTTTAACTTTTTGAAAAAAAATTGGAAATAAGTCACTTCCGATAAGAAAGTAGGAGAATTAAAGAGTATTAAACAATTTTTTAGCGTAATTAATAAATTACAGCGATACATTGAGTTAAATGTCGCATAATGTCACGCCTTTGTACATTTTCTACATAGTTGTGACGTAGCTAGTCCTTGCTCTTAAACTTGAATGCCTATTATCTAAGCCATTTCATGTTAAAATCAAGCAAAAAGGCGTAATCTAATATTATTCTATTATCTGACTGTCGGACTAAATAGAATTTCTTTTTTTTTACCCTGGCATTATCCCTAGTAAATTATACCATACCCGAAACCTAACTCGAATAAATAATAGAAGCTTTACTTTATGTATTTGTCTGTTACGCTTACACATCTAAATTAAATCCGCTTATATTTATATTTTCGTCTTTTCACTGTTCTATTTTTCCTTGATGTGTAAAATTGTCTTCATGTCTTCTTTACTATTAATTTATTTTATTATGGTAGTCGACAGGCTAACGAATATTTACTAAATAATTCTCTAGAAAAATACTATATTTTTTCTATTTTTTAAAAACTAGTCATCAATTCATAACACACTTTAAAATCAAAAAATTTCGTCTTCACCTTTTTTTTAGCGAAGTTTGCTATAAACATTAAAAACAATATTTCTCGCTTGGGATATCAAAGACTTTTTGAGCATTTTCGCAACATAAATTAATATTTTCACAAGAGTTTGTCCAGGGGCAGGGTCAGCAGATCTTTTCCAAAAAAAATCCGAACCTAAATTTAAATTCATTCAGGTGACGGAACTCACTTCGAAAATGAGTTTACTTAACTTTTAATTGGCATTCTCCATACGTTTCGTGGTACAAGTGAAGTGAACTGACTTTGAAAATGAAATAGGGATAGAATGACTGATATATGTGTGAATCAATGAATAGAATGTTCTTCACTAATATCTCAATGAAATAGTTTAATCTGCATTATTCATTATTTAATCTTAAAAAAAAAAGAAATGTTGAGGTCTTTAATGATTATGACACAAAATTCTCTAGATATATTACCACGCAACAACGCGGTTTTCTCCTTTAGAATCATGTCGGCAATGTGTGCGCAGCTGATAAGTTTTATAGTGCGTGTTTGAATGTGATGGTTAAGGCGTCGGCGCGTACGTGTCGCCGGAGATGATGTCGGCGGCGTACTCGATGCGCGCGCGGCTCGGCGGCGGCGCCTTCAGCTGGAGCTCGCGCGGGCCCGCGGCCGACGGCGCGCGCGGCGTCAGCGTGTGCGCGCCCGGTGGCGCCGTCACCTCGGTAGCTAGGTACGTGCCCCGCGCCGGGACAGAGGGAGATAGGTACGTGCCCCACGCCGGGCCAGAGGGAGATAGGTACGTGCCCCACGCCGGGACAAAGGGAGATAGTTACGTGCTCCACGCCGGGCCAGAGGGAGATAGGCGCGTGCCCCACGCCGGGCCAGCTGGAGATAGGTACGTGCCCCACGCCGGGCCAACTGGAGATAGGTACGTGCCCCGCGCCGGGCCAGCTGGAGATAGGTACGTGCCCCACGCCGGGCCAACTGGAGATAGGTACGTGCCTCATGCCACGCCTGTCGGAGATAGGTACGTGCCCCATGCCGGGCCAGCTGGAGATAGGTAAATGCCTCATGCCGGGCTAGAGGGAGATAGATACGTGCCTCTACCGGGCCTGTTGGAGATAGGCTAACCTGCTCTTTTCAGAGCGGGGTGGCTGGAGAGCCCTGATTTAAGGCTTAATAAGGTCTTTTCCCCTGTTTCATCACAAAAAGTCAGACCCTCATACTAGGCTAGCGTAGCTAACGCGGGCCAAAAGAGCAAGCTGCGTTACCTGTTGTTTAGGTATGTGTTTGACTTACACGGAGGAAGGAATACGTAATTGACCCATACGTTTATAAGTGTAATATATACAGGAATAATTTAAAACCACTGCGAAGATTTTGTGAAAATAAACTTTAAGTAATTTAAATAAACACGTATTTTTTATTTTGATATGTTCTAATACTAAAAAATAAAGTTATCGCTTATCAAAGATCGAGATTTTAAAACTTCATTTATGGACACCGCGCGCTGTGCGTCAGCTGAGCGCTCGCTCGACGCCGCCGTAGGCATGTACTCGTAGGTACCTATCTACACGGGTCACTGACCGCTCATTTTGTTAGATTCGAACTAGATTTTATGCCATGATCTGAGGTGTTTTCTAAGAGTAATTCCAATTTTCCCTTCATACTTTTATGGTTAAGGCCATCAAAATGCAAAAAAATAAAAGAGAAACAAATTCGTTACCTAGAAAAAAATATTAACGTTATGCCGAAGTTACATAGGTACTTCTGCGTTAAGGCGTATTTAAAAAAATTAGAATCAACTACGTATTTACAATAATGTTGAATCAAAACAAATACCTAACTAATTACTTACCATGTATTTTAATATTTGTTCAAAATGAAGTCCACGTCTGTCCAGACATAAACGTGCACATTTCATTAAATTGTCATTTAATTTGTTTAAAACACTAGTGTCACTTTTCACTTCACTGAAAGCGTTATTATTTTTTATTGTTGTCTTCTAGACTTTGTGCCTCCTCTACATCTCGGCGTTTGACTTCTTCCCATAAGAAACAGTCCCTCACTTGTGGACAATGCCTCATCCGTCTACAAGATGTTTACATCGCGGTGATGTAGAAGCCACTCACATAAGGCTCGACGTGGTATTGGGTCTAGGTCATGGAACTGCTGAACCGGCTGAAAGTGGTACGGATGGAGTCCGGCTGTTTTTAGCAGCTTCAATACCGCAGGCTGGCTCACACCAAAGAGATATGCCGCATCGTGGGTACTGACTCCGGGACTTCGTCTGTTAAAATGGTTCGAAGCATTAGGGACCGCGGGGTTATGGATCCCAAAGGCCCGCATACGAGGTATGCTCTTCGTCGCATACTTTCTCCGAATTGCGCTTATGTAGGTTCTCACCACTCAAAAGATAAACTCGTACATCTCGTAAAACTCACGACGGCGGGCGCGTCGCGTGCGCGGGAACGCGAGGACACGTCACATCGGCGCGTGCGTGTGAGTCTCACTGTCGCGCGCGTCGCTCGGTCCCGGCGGGGCGGTGGGGGCTGCGGCGGGGGGCTACCGGGCGCGGCGGGGTTGCACGGTGGCATACGCAAGAGAAGACGTTTTCATTGAAGTTTTATTTTAAAAAATGTGTCCATATTCTACCGTTTCGATAGGGATAAAAATATCTAAAAAAAAATTTTTAACTAATTATGGAAAAGTGTTCTATTACTGATACTGAACCACCAAAAAAAATTTTTGCACTGGAAAAAAAATATTCCTGTATATCACTTATATTTAATTTATTATGGAATGCCAAAGTTTAAGCTACAATTCCAATTTTACAAGATATATTTTGCTATATTAATACACGTTAAAATTTACCTCTTAACAAATTCCAATTTCGGACCACAACGTGCTTCAGCGTAGGTTATTTAGTTACATAAATATTTCGTTTTCTTTATCACAGGTTTACATTAAGAAATTCTCAACTCATGAATGGCACTTCGATGGCGGCGCCCCATGTTGCCGGTGTAGTTGGTGAGTCTCAAGCTTTGTATATCATATAAATTATAATAATAACAATTGGGGATCTATCGTAATAGGGGATCGGACAGCATTCAGATAAAAAATGAAGTATTATTTAAATAATAATGAATTATATCTTTAAATCAATACACAATATTTTCAATATTTATAGTCCGTGTCTCATGTCAAACGAAACACCAACTCTTGACGTCATTTGTGTGTAAATTGATGATAAAAGTACCTAGGAAAAGCGTCGGAAACATTCAGTGTTCAACAATTTACTGAATGTTGCAAGTACCATTTTTGTGTTTTATTTACTTTTTGTGTTTGAATATAAAAATACCGTTCTCAATTTTTTACCTAAAATTCCTTTTATTAAAAAATACGTTTCTAAACAGTTCAATTTTTAACATACCTACTAGCTATAATTACTTATTTACATAAAATACTTTATTTTTGTGGGAATAAGCTGCCACATTTTTTTTCAAGTTGTCTGATCTCCTTTTACTTTGTTGTTGCTGTTGGTTGGAAGTAGTTCTTATGAGTAACCACATGGTAAAACTTTCACATATCTGTGTTATTATAATGAATTGATTCTTCTCTAACTATATGAGCATACTTTATTCTTAGCCATCAAGCTCACAGGACTAGTTTGATAATAATCATAATAACAATGCTTATTTCATTTTTGTTTTAATTTACTGGTTCTATGTTAATAACTTTTCAATGCAGTTGCTCATAAAGCGCTATTTTTTTTTATCTATTGTAAACACCGAAAGTGAGTCTTTAAACACGTGTTAAATAAAAATGTACTGAAATCTTTTACTGCACACGTGCTTAAAAGTATTTTTTTAATTTCATTTTGGCCGAGCACCAAAGAAATTTAAAAAAAAAAGTATGAAAATATGTCAAACTTTTAGAAGCAAAAGTACCTATTTCAAGGAGCCTAGAACGAATATTTTCAAATAAAAATTTATGACACGAAAACATGTTCAAATATCACGATTAATTTTAACAAATAATTTTTACCTTTAATACATACTTAGTTTTCTTAACCTATATATTTGTTTTATTTCCTCGCAAAAAGCATTGAAAAATGTTGTAAGAAACTTGAGCGTAAAAGGTTTTTCGAATTCGTACCAATGAAAACCCTCGCCACGCTCGTGTTTTCAATTTGGCCCTTATTCGTAAAACCTTACTTTCCGCACTCGAATTTTAAATAACTATTATGCATCTTGTATATAAAATGTAGCGTAGAATAGTCCCTCAGTTTGAATATTGTATGGAAAGGTGTCTGTCGTGACACTTGTATGTAATACATGTAAAATATAATTTTTAGATAAGATAATAGTATGTAAAATATAATTTTTCAAAGTATTGACTTATATTTAAACTAGTAGCTCAAACGTTGATAAAAACTTGTAGTGTTATGATCAGTGTTTGGACGGAGTACTAAGTTTTATCCAGATTATATGAATAAGTTATAAATTTTGGAGAAATATCCATATTAATCTATATTTTTCAGATCAATAACCCCCAGTGAAAATGACTTATACTTAGCAGTCCTGTGAAGTTGCTGGTGTAACATGAAAGTTATATTGTGTAAGATACAGTAATATTTGATTTGATTTACAGCGGCCTTGGTGTCCGGATTGAAGGCGAAGAATTTACCTTATTCACCATACTCTATAAAAAGAGCATTGGAGAACTCTGCTACGTATCTGAGTCACGTGGAACCCTGGGCGCAAGGCAGTGGGCTAGTTAATATTGAAAAGGTGAAGACCAATTTTAGCTGTTCCCTATTATTCACTGTATCAAAATAACAAAAGTTATTGTTTAAAAAATTATCAAATTGTTTTTTGCACTTCAATTATTTTTACATTAAAAATATTTGCAGGCATTCGAACATTTAACTACTTATTCGGCGGAACCCGAACGCGATGTTACCTTTAACATTCAGTGCGGAACTAATAATGCCAAGGGGATTTTATTGCGACCGAAATTGGATGATTTTCCAAAGGACATTGGTATTACAGTTGAGCCACAATTTTTACAGAACCACTGCGATGAAGAGAGTGAGTATTTTTTAATTTATAAGTAAGATAAAATATATATTTCTTGGACATATCTAATATTTGTACTGAATATAAGAAGTACGCGATTAGTGGTCTCTTAAACAAGTGTATTTTAATATATTTTCTTTCAATTTTTAATATATTACGATCATTATTGGAATTGCCAGTTCTGGTGTGCGCAAACGAAGATTCACGATGCGATCAATGATTTCATGAGTTTATTACGATTTGCCTTTCAACACAATGTAATTTGAAGTTTGTTACGGTTGTGTCTGTTATAATAACAAGTCTCTGAATATTATCGTCAAAAAAAGAATACACGAGGCTTGTTGATTAATACTTATAATTTTAGGTTCGGAAAGTAAAGCAAATGGATCTGTAAGGAATGTGCTTAAAAAGTCATTGTCACTTAAGGGTATGTTTTTCGATACCTTGTTTTATTAAACATACCTTTTGTGATTATTTTTGAATGAAATTAATCTGAATGTATATTTCATAGAATAGCTGATAGATGTTGAATTTTTATATCATATTAATCAGTTTTTATTACTATTTAGATCTATTGACAGTAAGTTGTTTAATTTAGGGTATTATTGACAACATTGTCGCTTTTTATGTGTCTATATTTAGTTATTATTACCAGTCATCAGAGTATGAATTTTGAATTAGTGTCTTTGAACTGAAACATATAAGCGCTTAAAAATTGAATTCTCTTATCCACTTTATTCTTTCTATGAGTATTTATGATACAAGTGCCAAAAATAAATCTACTTATTCTGGTCATTCATTGTTACATGACTTTATAATTATTGTACTCTACAATATCCATCTCAATAAGGTTACTGTTGGGTCATTCTAAGAAGCTACACTTGACATCTATAAATCGGAAATTGATAGTGACATGTTCTGTTTAAATTATTTGATTAATATGATTCTTAAACAAATGTAATTATGCGCAAAAATAACAATTCTGCAAACATAATAATCTAAGCTGATTTTGCTTATCATTACATATTTTATACAACAGGTTGCTAAAAAATCATAAGCAGTATTAAAAAAAGCTTTGATGCAAGTAATACTAAAAATGTATAGAAATGATTATTTTATTGACCCGTATATATTGTAAAAAATATAGATATACACACAGAAGCACTGACACATCGGATTACTACAAAGGCCGAAATTCTACAATCGCATTTTGAACGTTTACATCAACAGATCAAAGATTACAATCTATCTGAGAAAATTGAGCTTTTGTAGTCTGTATGCCATTATATATGTAGTAAAATATCACATACATCTCGATTGTACCAAACAGATACAACAAAATCTATGTAGTGCGTGGTGTGTTGCAGACAAGTCGATAATTCCGAAGCAGATCGAGTTCGGCATTCGGCTTGTGTTGACGTGCGACGCGGCGTGGATCTCGCTGCCGAGTTTCCTGGACATGAGCAACGCGTCCAGGCCCATCGCGGTCAGAGTGGACACCACTGCGTTACCGCCGGGACCGCACTATGCTAGGTAGGTACTATATCTGGCGCATCCCTTCTCTTTCACGCAGTGGCTCTTGATTGGTGGTCCGTGGAGCCTCATAAACTTATGACAAAGTATAATAATTTATTGTACAAATATTTTTTTGGGGATTTTTATTTGTATGTAAATATATAATACTTATAATAATACTTTAATTATTTGAGTGAGTCCATAGTGATTATTTTGTGTCTTTTTATCAAATAAAATTAAATATATTGTAAGATAATGATGTTCGAATTAAATCTTCACACGTGGAAGAGTGTCGAGCCAAATTCAAAGGAAAGGTACAGGATCTGCATCAATTTTTTACGTCAACATCTTGTCCAAATATCCAAGAGTTAAGTTGACCGGAGATATCCTGGACGTCAGCCTGTACTAGATTAGTATGGTTCTCAAACAATATAAGAATACCAAGGAACCGGGTGAGTACGAAATCAAAACCGTGCTACGGAAAGCCAGAAGAAAGCCTGTGTTTAAAATTCTTTACGTCAAATAATCCGAGGAGTATATCTCGTCAATGTGCTTGGCGTTTGTGGACTATGGCAAAGCCTTTGTTTTGTTCGGGATCTGCTCATAAACTTATAAACGGTGTCGTATCGATTATCGTTTCATAGTAGATTTCAGTAAATTTTTTTTCGTGTTTTTGTTTTGTTTCTCTGTTTTATTTGTTACTAGTTTTCCGTCAGTGGCTTCGCCGTGGTGCCTATTGATGAGTTTAGTAGGATAAAATGTAGCCAATATGTTAATCCAGGTTTAGTAATTAATACGTCTGATTCAAAAAAGGGTTAAATATATTTTATTACAATCGTTATTGCTTTAGAATAAAGTCTATCTAAATATTTTTCAACATTAGTTCATTAATTTGGATAGGATTTCATACCATGACGCGGATTTAATTACAATCACAAATTTATTATTCTCTATTATTATTTTTTTGTTCTCGGTTGTTGAAAGAATTTTTAAAATCCGTCCAATAGTTTCGGAGTCTATTCGATGCAAACAACCAAACGATAGAATCTCTTCTTTATAATATTTATTTTTTTATATACGCCAGTATAAACGCGTACGACGTGTCGCGCGTGGACAAGGGCCCGGTGTTCAGCGTGCCGGTGACGGTGCTGCAGCCCGGCGCGCTGCACCCCACCAGCGCGGGCGCGCCCGCCTTCCACTGCGCGCGCGACCTGTTCCGCCCCGCGGACATACGGAGGCATCTCGTCATCGGTCAGTCACATGCCAGTGTTTAAAACCGGTTTAATAGCTTAACTTAACTAGAAATCACTTAATGTTAAGAATATTTTAGCATATTTGACTTTTCACCAAATCTGTAACGCTAGGGTAATTGATTACTAAGCATTTGCTTAGCTATACTATGATTTTGTATGCTTTATTTCCTCTTCTTTATTTTTATTGTATGGCGTTTACACAACTCTGTCAATGTCACGTTAGTGGCTTTTACACGTAAAGTGATAATAATAGTAATATATATTTTGAGGTGATAAAACAAAAAAAAATCGATCAGTGGGAGAGCCACGCTTCGGCATGAATGGGCCGGCTTGACCGGAGTGATACCACGGCCTCACAGAAAACCGACGTGAAGCAACGCTTACGTTGTGTTTCGTCGTGTGAGTGAGGGCACCGGAGGCCCAACCCCTCCCTTTTCCCTTCCCTCCACCCCTCAACCTTTCCCTCCCGTCCCGTCCTCAGGTCCCGTTTTCCAAGCCCGGGATTTTTTCAATAAAGATTTCAATCTGTAACTTAATATTCTCTATTAATTCCAGTAAACTGGTAACTTTTACCATAGTAATTATTTAACAACATTTATTTTGTATTAATAATATATACATCAACCAGTTTAAAAACTTTAACATGAACATTTCATTGTTATTTTATCGATTTTGATATTGATCAATTTTAGCTGCTATATGATAGTAGTACCTTGGGCTGGTGGATTTTTTTAAGCATTTTCATTGATGATATTAAAATTTCAGTAAGTATCTAATTAAAAAACATAAACTAATGATATTAATGGTAGATAGATATTAATTGTAGCTATCATTTAGTTGAAAAAACTCAATAAAACTATGTTTATGTAATTGTTTTATTACATATAAAAATTCCGGTTTTTTTTTTCAAATATAATCGCAAGATTTGAATCTCAAAAATAATCTCGAGATCCTTTCTCATTTTTTCGGGTTCCCACTGAATTCCTTAGTATATATTAACTTATTTTAAATCTCGAAATTGTTTTGTGCAACCGTAAAGTTGTTGAAATCGCGCTTTCAACGAAGTGAGTATTGTGTTAGCTATGTCAAAAACTTAATGTGTCGATGTTAATACAGTGCCCCCGGAAGCGACGTGGGGAGTCCTTAAGATATCTACGGAGGAGAAAGACAAAACTGGTCGTTTCTTGGTGCACACAATGCAGATGTTGCCGAGGCGATCGTGCCGCTGTCACGAAACCCAGAAGATGATCAATGTCACGTCGGAAGCGCCTACGTTACTGCCCTTCCAAGTTATGGTGAGTGTATTCTTTTAATGCGACATGAATGTAAAATGCTGTGAAACGCTATGATGCACAAGTTTATAAACCAAAGAGTAAAATCATCATCATCAGCCCTTTTACGTCCCCACTGCAGGGGCTCAGGCCTTCCTTATGGATGGTTAAGGAGGATGGGCCATGACCCTCCACGCTGGCCCAATGCGAATTGGAGGGTATTAACGACTGCAAATGCAGACGGGACCAATGGCTTAACGTGCCTTCCGAAGCACGGAGTAGCTCGAGATGATAATTTTTGGTCACCCATCCCGTGACCAAAAATCCCGTGCGAAAGTTGCTTAACGACAATGATCGCGGGCTGCGGCGCTTATCCACTACGCCACCTATAAATAAACATGACATATATTAGTGACAGTGCAGTAAATACATCTAAATGCTTAAGGGTTTGATACAATGTGGTGATATTGTAGCACTATGATGGCCGTGTGATATGTGCATCGTCCTGCAAGCTAGCCGTTTTTCATAACAAGTTAGAATCATAATAATTATTCACTAAACTTAAAAAGCATCTTGAAACAGAAACTGAGAACAGAGCAGATTAGTAAGATGCTCACATTGTTTCCTAGCAATTAGTGTGTCCATACATAAACAATGTTTTAGTAAATAAAATTTTATTTACTAAATAAAATTAAAATTCCAGTTTCCGTTTTTTATTATAAATGCATTTTCTAATTGGTGTGTATAAGGTTGTACATTATTTCTGTTATTGATTTGTTTCTACTTTGTCTTGATATTGAAACACTATCGGTTTCATGCCTGTTTTCACTAACATATAACAATGCATAGCTTAACTAGAAATGACTTATAATAGCATAAGCGGATTTGTCGTTTCATCAAACCTGTAACGTTAGATAATGCCTTTCTAAGCACTTCCTTATAGGCAATGTTTGTCTATGATGTTGAATGCGTAATTTCTTCTTATTTTTTAAATGTATAACCCACTTGTGTTTACACAACTCCGCCAATGTCACGTTAGTGGCATTTACACGCAAAGAGATAATAAAAATATATATTTTGAGGTGATAAAACGTGAATTATATTTACACGAGCACCCACGTCGTCATTGTCTCAATATAAAAAGTCCGAAAATTCAAATACTCATATAAACTACGTGTTTGAGACTATTTGAAGATAAAAATAAAAGAAATGAAGACTTTAAATGGACTGTAATTCGAGGAAAATCTCAATATAATAAATTGTCGCGTCGAGTAGTCCGAATGTGTATGCGTGCGTCGTCTGAGTGTCGCGCCGCGCCGCACCCGGCATCGATGGCAGCCGGGTCCGGTGTAGTGATGTGCGCCCCCTCCTCGCTAGTGATGCAGGTGTAGGCGCAGACACTACGTGATTACAACTTACTAAATTGATTTTATCCTTTGACATATCCATTACTGGCAAATGTATCTGTCACATTATGCAAATGCCCAGCGCTAGGCGCAGCGCAATGCATGCCCTAATTTTAAGCGTTGCTTCGTCGTTAGGTGAATCTCTGTCAGTGGTAAAACGTATTTTCACCTTAGACAATGCCCAAATATTTAGGTGTCAGATTTGGGCGATTCTTTTTTTTAGTGACTCTGGTACTGAGCAGTTTCAAAAAGACTCATTTTATTACATATCAGGGCGGGGTGACTCTAGAGGTGGCCATAGCAAAATACTGGGCCAACATCGGCGATCTGACGGTGAACTACAGCGTGGAGTTCCACGGGCTGAAGCCGGACTGCGGTCCGCGCGTCTGCCTCACCGCCGTCGAGGGCGTGCGCTGCCTCAGCGTGGGCGCGCTGCGGCTGCAGGAGGTGGCGCCCCACGCCGTGCTCAAGTACTCCGAGCCCGTCTGTAGGTGAGTGTACACTGCGGCCGCGGCAGGGGCGCCAGTACTCCGAGCCCGTCTGCAGGTGAGTGTACACTGCGGCCGCGGCAGGTGCGCCAGTACTCCGAGCCCGTCTGTAGGTGAGTGTACACTGCGGCCGCGGCAGGGGCGCCAGTACTCCGAGCTCGTCTGTAGGTGAGTGTACACTGTGGCCGCGCCAGGTGCGCCAGTACTCCGAGCCCGTCTGTAGGTGAGTGTACACTGCGGCCGCGGCAGGTGCGCCAGTACTCCGAGCCCGTCTGTAGGTGAGTGTACACTGCGGCCGCGGCAGGGGCGCCAGTACTCCGAGCCCGTCTGCAGGTGAGTGTACACTGCGGCCGCGGCAGGTGCGCCAGTACTCCGAGCCCGTCTGTAGGTGAGTGTACACTGCGGCCGCGGCAGGGGCGCCAGTACTCCGAGCTCGTCTGTAGGTGAGTGTACACTGTGGCCGCGCCAGGTGCGCCAGTACTCCGAGCCCGTCTGTAGGTGAGTGTACACTGCGGCCGCGGCAGGGGCGCCAGTACTCCGAGCCCGTCTGCAGGTGAGTGTACACTGCGGCCGCGGCAGGTGCGCCAGTACTCCGAGCCCGTCTGTAGGTGAGTGTACACTGCGGCCGCGGCAGGGGCGCCAGTACTCCGAGCTCGTCTGTAGGTGAGTGTACACTGTGGCCGCGCCAGGTGCGCCAGTACTCCGAGCCCGTCTGTAGGTGAGTGTACACTGTGCGTGTGCACTAAACGTGAGAAAGTATACACTCTTTTACTCAATATTTATATATTTTTCTATTTTAAATCAAAGAATAAGCATAATAAAAAGAAGTGAAAAAAAAATCTTAAATATTGACATAAATAAAAAGTGAAGGGACTTTTAAATTGCGCTCGCTAGAATAATTTCGCTTCACGCCTTACCTCAGCGTGTGACGTCACACTACTGAATACGACCGCGAGGACGTGGCTCAGTTCACTAGCTTATTATAAGATCGTTCTTGTGCATCGCCTGCATCTTACAATCGCGTTTTGTTTATTACTCGATGAAGGGCACTGAAAATCTTCTATTATAAAAGTCGCCAGTTAATACAAAATATAATCGCTAACGGGCGCCCGTTAGCGGTTTTGGGTATGTTCCGATATACACTGTGAGCACTGCGCAGTGGTCTTACTGCTGAAAAATCCGTTCCGTTATGGACTGCCAGTACACTGCTACAGTACCCTAGGGAAATTTATGACGTCATAAATTGCCGCCATATTTGTACTGTGAGCACTGGAGATTTCGAGGTAAGGTGCTCGCAGTACTTTTGATCACGTGATCAGTCGAAACAGAATCAGAAAATGATAAGTTTCTAAATAAACAAAAAAAAATTCTTACGTTTATTTATAAGATGGATTTAATTGACAAATATTTTTTTTATACAATTTTCCAATTTTCTTTTGAAAAGAGGGAATTTTTATATTTATATTCACCTTGCATTAACAAATTTGAAAATGGCGCCAAAAAAATAGGATTAACAGTATACTGGACTGCGTTCCGTTTTATAAAGTCACCAGTATAACTAGCTATAAAGATAATTATTATATGACTGATCTTGTATGCCATGACAGCGGTGCGCTCGATGTTGAGTGTTCGGAAGCATTGGTATATAATAATGCTACTTGTTATTAGGCCAACAGAGTCCAAGTTAGCGCCACTGACGGCTCGAGACGTGATACCACCGAGTCGGCAGATATATCAGCTCATCAACACATATAACTTCCACATAGCTAAAGCTACAGAGGTAAATTGGTATAACACTTAATATTGAGCAGTAGAAATTCGTTGTTTCAAGCTTTCATGGTCATTACATTAGAATGATTGTTTTAATGGGATTGCTACCAAGTACCTTTGTTTTTATTGAGTTCCCGATACTTTTACGATAATCACTGTAGTTGTCATAAGATAAATAAAAAAAGTGTCGTTTCGATATCAATAAAGTGAGTGTTGTTGTGTGTCGAGAATGGGTGCGAGTTAGTGGTGACATAGTGAACAGTGGTACGGGTATCGAACGAAAAAGGAGATAAAAAGAAAGTAGATAAAAATAAGGTACATGGTAGCAATCCCGTAAAAACTGCCATTAAGTACCTCCCCCATAGTCTGTAACGATGTATGGTTGTGTTATCTAGTAGACTGATGGCTGGTTGGGTTATTACATAGACGCCTTTGTATTTGTAGTATAAATATTTATTTATTGAATTTGTAGTACAATTTATAGAATCTTATGTATAGACATTAGTATAGACTTTTTTTTTAATATGTAACGAACATTTTATATTTAAGATTATAAAATCAAATTAAAAATCATAGACAAAAAAAGTATTTATGTTGCACGCAACATAGTCCCCCCCCTTACTACACTGAGCTGGTGGATATTTTAATAATTTTTCATTAAAATAAATCTATTAAAATGAATTTAAAATCTTTTATCCGCTTATTTAAGGCATATATTAGTACAATTGTTTATTTTAAACAAAAATATACAGATTCAGTTGCGTTGATAGTGTTCATTAAATTCTTTTGAGTATGTATGTTTCGAACATATGTTTTTGTCATTTAAATTATTATTTTAATTTGTGTCCAGGTGTCACCAATAGTATCGTTATTATGCGATATGCTTTATGAGTCTGAGTTCGAGTCACAGATGTGGATGTTATATAATAGTTGTAAACAACTTATGGCAGTAGGAGACGCTTATCCTTCTAAGGTAAGAATTATTTTTATTTATTTTAATTTGTGAATGTAAAGAAAAAATGGATGCATTATTTTTTTTTGTTTGTTTTACCTAATAATTATTCAACTGAGGGAGGGCTAAGTATCGTGTTACATTATAAATAGCAGTGTTAAAATGTAAAATTGCAGATAAAGAAATATACACTTGTAATGCTTAGAAATTAAAATAGTAAATCAGTTGCAGAGTCACTTTAATAAAAAATAAATTATTAATTGGACATAGAAAATCCGCAGATGCCTTTGACGTCAATTTTCAGCTGACGCCTAGGGTGGCTTACTGTGAGAATATGGGTGTGGACATTAAACGAAAACAAATACATATTTTTTTCTGGTATTGTTTAATATACTACTACCGATAATCACACTTCTATGCTTATTATATTTAAAATATTGCTTTAATTAATTATAAAAAAAATATACCTATTTTATACTCGTTGTCACGTGACCGCAAACAGCGCGTGATGTCACGCCCCTCTTACTCGTATCCGAATTAGAGAATTCAACCTTATGCATTCATAGAACGATATTAGTTTCAGAGGGTCAATATCGGAAGTGGCGTTTTCAGGGGAAATTATGAATATATTTTTTAGATTTTAACTTATTATATGAATTTAAATTTTTTTTTGAGATATATTTCATGTATATTTACAAAATAAAAATATAAAGAAAGTTGTCTACACCCATATTATATGTACATAGTTTTGCTATAAATTTTGTTACATAGAAAATCAAAAAATTTTTATTGAACTTAACATTTATTACTACAGTGCGTTAGTTTAATACATGTTTTAATACATTAATAATTTGTGATGTAATAATTTTAACTATATTTGTCATACAGTATTCCGTGAAATTGGAAAAGGGGGAATATGTTCTGAAGTTAAATGTTCGTCACGAGAGTCGATCTCTCCTGGAGAAACTTCAAGAGTTGCCTGTTCTCATACAGCAGAGGTTACCACAACCTTTAACACTGGACGTCTACTGCTCACAGCATCAGGTAAATTCTGCCGATATAGTCAATTTAAGATATTTCAACAACAGTTTTTTTTTTTCTACTAATACTTTTACACCCGGTTTCTGAATTGAGAATTTTAAGTTAAGAACGTCTCATACTGTACTACTACACTAACAGGTTTTGGTTTCTTATTCGAGATTTTCTTTTTAATGATCAGATTATAGAAATTTGTTAAAACTGGGGTTTTTTGACTTGTAAAGCGTATTGTAAGCGTTTAAAAAACTTAAATTATTGATAATAATTTAAGATTTGAGTTGAGATTTTGCCACTGGCGGACTAGGGTGGGGTTCGGGCCTCCGATCCCCGGGGGCCTCAAATGGGTTGCCACCATCCGCCAAAATAATAATAATATATGTATGAGCTCGCACTTTTCTCAGTTCAGAAACCGGCTGTTATAAAACTCCACAGGTTTGAAATTAGGATTGCATTAATTATTGAAGTGATTTTAAGAAAATGGTAATTGTATAATTATACAATTGCTTCATTAATGTATGTAGATTTGTTGCTCTTGTAGGGAGGGTTTGTTTAGGATTTCGTAACCATAAACATTTGACACTTCATAGGCTGTATGTAATTTAGCCTTGTACAAATTTTTAATGATTTAAATTTTAATAAGAAGCTTTTTTTTTTGACGTGGATACGTCTATGTTTTCGTTCTACAGGGGGGTCATTCTGTGAGCAGGAGTATATGCACTAACGCCATCTATTGGCGTATAAGTGAACTATGCTTGCTCTGCAGGGGGAGGGGCATTCTGTCAGCAGGAGTATATGCACTAACGCCATCTGTTGGCGCTAGTGAATACTTTTTTCATTCAACAAATGAACGCAACGAATATTTATTTATTTAGTGTTTAGTGTCTTCAATTTGTTTATTTATTTTTTTATCAATTACTCATATATCCATTCATACATAGACGTATCCACGCATAAAATATGGCTGTATCAATGATACAGCCAACCAGGGTTTTTTGTAGTAATCTCTAAAAATTAAGTTTAAATCCAAATAGCTACTGAATAAATTTTTTCTAGGCGTTGATTGGTGGGAAAAAATTCAGTTCAGCGTCGCTGTCTAGTGGGAGCGTGATGCCACTATATTTCACCGCTGTGCCTTCAGATAAGTGAGTATTGGAGTCGGTTAACATCTGATGGACAATTCGTCGTCGGTTGGGGAATATCAGAACTTGCACACTCGATCCGTCGCGTACTAACGCATGCTTCTTTGCTATGATTGAGGCATCTTCCTTCAGATTTGAACCGGTCTTGAAACGTAAAGACAGTCTATTTTATCTAAACTTATGTAAATCATACCTTTTGTTCCGGACATCCGGAAAGAAAATTCTTCTATTATAATTTCTTATAAAAGTGAATTTAGACATTGTATGTGTAATAAACAGTGCTAGGAATAGGTAATATGTGCTTATTAGCCTAAATTTCGAAGAACAGAGATAAGCAACGGAGACTTCCTTAGAGCTATCCATTTATTTGTTTATTTTAAAGATTTTGTAAAGTTTATTAAACAAATATAAAATATAATGTAAAGAGAATGTTAAAAATGTTAGTATTATTATTTTGAAGATGATTATCAGTTATTTATTAAATTATACACTTGAGCTTTAGAAATCTAAACAAACGTGGCGAACTTAAAAAATAATTAATTCGTATATATTTACCTAAAGGCTCTCGGCGATAGACGAATTACTTATTTGAAATAACCTATTTTTTTATGTATTTAAGTGTTGTCCCGAATTTGGGACAAATGTTTCGGGAAGAAATAGTTCTAAGGGAGTCACTGTTTCTTGACATAACATTAAGTTTATTACACAATATTGATCATTCTTAGTTTTCAACTTTGACAAATGCTATGTATAAGCCTAGACTGAATAAACGACTTTGGATTTGATTTACTGAACTATGTTACTTTGCTTCTACTTTTATAAAAAAGTAGCGTGGTAGTCGATATTTAAAATAAAACTATAATTTATTTAACTTATTTCTACAGAATCAGCCGTTCAAATCTAACAGTGGGTCAAACGCTAACTGGAACAGTGACGTTCGCAAAGGATGAATTAGGACGTAAAGTGGACACTTACAATCTCCAGTATTTAATATGTGAACCGCCCAAAAGACCTAATAACACCAAAGAAAAGGAGAAAACGAAACCCAGCGATGATTATATGGAAGCTTACAAGGAATTCTCCACCAATTGGCTGGGGAAGTTGGGTGAGTGAGATAGAATATCGATCATTTATATATAGTCTGTTGTGAACAAGAAATTAATTTACCAATAATTATAAAATTGATTATAATTCAAGTGACAAAATTCAATATGTCGATAAGAAGCGACATCATCTTAATTTATAAATGTAATAAATTTCATCTCTTTCGCTCATGATCTATATGAAAAATTAATATTTTAGATGGTGAAAAGCTAGAGCAGGTTTATGAAGAAATATTGGAGAAGTTCCCCGGTTATCTTGGAGCGCACATTGCTTACATGAATGCTTTAGACCCACCCACGGATCCAAAGAAGTGAGTTGTTTTACTATAGTTTATTCATACACAGTTAAGATAATTTGTTAAGTGGTGTAGATCAGTTGCTTAGCGATAGATAAATAAAAGTCAAAATAGATTGGTAAAGCGACTCTTGTTGAATTTCTTCCCTATTCTTCTCAGTGTGACTACTTCCGCCGTAGATTTGCGGAACGCTGCAGTTATAAGTCAGCTGCATTTCTTAATAGCGTAGATTAAAATGTATGTACAGTCTCTATCATATTTAGAAGTAGCATCTGTTAAATGGAATAGTAATACCAGTACTCTCGGAATATAGACTTTAAACCGTTATATTAAGATCATACTTGACGTAGTTACAACTCGAGATTGTTGAGACGTGTGTCGATTTCGCGGGCATGAAACGTATGTAATCGCGGACCGTTACGATTAAAACTTCAAAAATGAAACTTCGGTGCAGGCACGTATGGTGTAAACTTGTAAAGTTGGTTATACTGTACCACTGCTTAATTTTTATTTTAAACGATTCTTAAATAGATTATATGGTTAAGTTTATATTTCACCTTTTCGTTAGACTTGCAGGCTTTTTGGCCACAAGACAGGTATTTGTGGTCTAAAATAGTTAAGAGGAAGGAAGTTGGGTATTATAGAAATATCTTTGCGATTCATCTATAATACTATTGAAATTACGATTCATGTATTGTAGATGTAAAGTGCATTGCGTTATCTCGAGTTTTACTATTAAAGCAATCAACTGTCAGAAGAGACATAAAATACACATTATAACAGGTTAAAAAATTTATTGAAACTGTATTAGTCTAGTTACACACAAATGATAAACATATAGAGAAATTTTTATTTAATATTAATTTATGTACCTGAACCAGGTTACCTCGCGTGAACGAAGCCCCCGATGTGACGACGGCGTGGTGTGAGAAAATTATCACTATAGCAGATAAGGTAAGGGAAATGATAAGCTGTATTCATTAATAGCGTCCGTCTGTTCTTTTGTCTAGAGCTTTTTTATTTACATTGTCCTAGGAAAGTATTTGCGTTATATATTAAATATTATTTACTTGAACATGCCTTTCGAAACACGGAGTAGCTTAAGATAATAATTTTGGTCACCCATCCCGTGACAGACCCTTGCGAATATTGCTTAATAATAACCATCGCAGGTTTATATTTTTTGTTTATAACAATAGTTCAATTATTAAAATATCATTGAATTTGAAAATTCCTAACAATCTAGCTAGAGCATTAATTAAAATAATATTCATTATAGGTATTAAAAGCAATAGATCAAGACAAGTTATTAGCGTATTTAGGAATGAAGAATGACAGTCGAGGTGATGCCAATAAAATAAAACAGTGAGTATGAAATATAATATAATTTAAGACTAATCTACATTAAGCTGAGATTAATGCTGGGGCATAGGAGACACTAATGGGATATGTTGTTTTAAACTTTCATAGTCTATCTAGAATTATAGTTATTTACGGACTTGCTACCATGTACTTTATATTTATTGAGTAGACGATATTTCGGCTGTTGCAAACGCCATGATCACGGAGTAACTGAAGTCTGCAGGTGGATGTTATTGCCAGATATATCAATTTACCCTCTCTCGAGTCGGAACATAAAAATTAATCTTATAAACTGGGCTCAATGTGGATTGGTGGGTGCTAACGAATGCAGATGCGGCCAGAGACAACTGAATAAGTCCTCTGTAGGAAGGAGGTGCTGGTGAGTGGTGATAGTAAATAACCTCAAAAACCTTTCGTAGCATTATTTATTTTCGTGGTCTCAGTCTTAGTAAAGATTAATTGAAAAAGTTTGTAAACTAGTATTTGGGGGTTGGAGATTCAGTAAATAAATTTGTTGATGGACCCCAATGATATATATTTTTGTAAAAAAAAATGTTGCATGTGGTATTTATCTGTAATTATTTGATACATTTCTTCTTGAGAGATGATTAATCAAGTTATTATTGTATGTTATAATATATTAAATGTTGGTAAATAAAAAATAAAATAAAAAAATAATTCACCCATCCGATGACTTGCCTCTATGAAAGTTGTTTAACATCTGTAATCGTAAATTGATCGCGCTAACCACTATGACATCGAGTACCTACGAGATTACATCCTGTCTTTGCCAAATTGCTAATAATAATGCCCGACATTCATATTCATATATTAATATCTAGTTTATACATCAACCAAAGTATAATTAGTATAATAGTATATATTTTTCATTATTAAACTTCGTATTTAAATATTAAAATTGATAATACTTTTTAAAAAATTCCATTCTTATTATAATAAAAGTCGAGAAACTAGGCATATTAATAATAAATGGCCTTTGAACTGAATATATAGCAGGTATCTTTTTATTTTATCTGTATATCTTTTTGTTGTTATATTAGCGAGAAAAAAAAAAGCTAAATTTGATTACGTAACGTAACCGGTAACCAAGACAATATTAAATTTTATGCACTGACTACAATGTTTTCTGTACAGTCGGCCAAGAAAATGGTCTACCACCCTAAGGTTGAATTTCGCGTGTTACGTCAACTAACAACAAGGTTGATTTTCCGTAGCATTAATTTTTTGACACGTCAAGTACACGTCATTATTGCTATCTTCATCATTTTGACGTAACCTTTGACAGTAATTATCTATACCTATAATAAAAATGTAACAAGGTTACATTTGTAAGATATTTTGGAAAAAAAATATATGGACGGCCTTCATAAGACTAATAGAAGCCAAAAATATTTTTTTTCTGTCTGTCTGTTTGTATGTTTAAATACTTTAGAGTTAGAATATCGTAAATAAAGTCTTATAGTCTACAAATATCCTACATTAGAATGTAGATTAATTATATTTTAATACAAATAAAAAAAATCAGTAGGTAGTGAAATGCTATGCGTAAGAAGCTATGCGTGTTATAGGTCTGAATATACTGAGATAACGGATAACAGAAATGAATAGCGACGAAAAACATATTGCGCCGACCCATAGCTTAGTGCGAGACAAGGGCTAAAACTAGAAGAGATAGTGAAAATGCTAATTCTTTGGTTGTTAAAAAATATATACAATTCTTTTATAAAATTATAATTCTTAAAATCTTGTGTAGCCGCCATCTGCCTCTATAACAGCTTGGAGACGTTCCCTCATCGAGCCCACCAGTCTTGAGCAGATATCAGACCCACGTGTTTCCTCCCAAACCTCATTGCAGTGCCCTTGTAGTGCTTCTGCTGTTCGTTCATTACGGTTACACCATCTCTGAACCATAAGACCCCACATATTTTCAATAGGGTTGAGATCTGGCGATTTTGCAGGCCATGGTATCAAGTTTATTTCCGGATGTGCATCAAACCAAGCACGTGTTACCCTTGCTTTATGTAAGGGACAGTTATCCTGTAAATAATTAAATTGACGCATTTCATTTTCTGGATAAACGTTCCGGACGGATGGCAACATAGCATTTTGGAGAACATCAACATAATCTGATGCCGTTGCTCGTGGTGGCAAAAAGGTCAAGTCTCCAACACCATCAGCAGTCATCCATCCATACAAATTTACCGAGATACGACCCGATTCTCTATTTGGCACGACATGATTTTGCGTGTATCGCGTTTTATTGAATCGCCAAAGGTGTAGACGCCCGTGTTGACTGGATTTAAAAGTTTTCTCGTCACAGAAAACAGTGTTACTCCAATCAAAATCCAAATATTCTATGGCGAAATTTAATCTGGCCATTCTATGAGCGTCAGTCATATAAATTTTCTTTGCATAACGCCTGTGATGTAAGCCCATGTAATGTAAATGGTTTCTAATGGTTTGGAGAGTCACGTCAAATATGTCGGCAAAATAACGCGTTGGTATAAAGCCAGATTCCTCATAACTCCGTCTCATGAAGACTCGCTGAGTATCTGATATTTCAGGTCTACGACCGCTACGACTCCGAGCGTTCAAATTCCCCTCCTCGCTTTCTCGTCTTATCCAAAGACGGACAGCTTGTCTCTATAATCAAAAATAAAATATGAACAGAAAAAATAAAAAAAAATTTTACACTCGGACTTGGTCTGAGATTTTACATTAAACTCACGTCAGACATAATAATACTTACCGACACATTTAATTCTCTAGAAATCTCACTAATATTCAAACCATCATTGTGTAATGCGATTATTTGTGCTCTTTCGTTAATGGATAAATTTCGGGGCATTGTAGTGTAAATTAATTAGGAAAATACCTACGGAAAATGCCGAGAAAATATTTGACATGAATTGTCAAGTGATATATTCTTTTTCAGTAAAAGAGTTTTCGTAACAAAATAGTTTCCACTTTGAAGTGACCTACTTAAATTTTAAATTTATGAAATATTGTGAAGACTATTTGTTGTTGCAAATTATTATCTAATGCATAGGCTGCAAAGGTCAAAATAACATTTGTGCTCTACGACAACACGTCAGCATTGTGCATCTCTTTTATTGTTTGTATGCAATTCTAAGATTCGCCTTTAGCGATGCTTTAAAGATACGGGAAATCTTATCAAAACTGGTAGACCACTTTCTTGGCCGACCGTACAGTACACATCACGTCAGGGTTCTACAAAAGGTCTATTTCTACAGAAGCACCTTGCAGGGCGGCAAGGTGAGGTTGGCTAGTGCAGTACCTACGTACTGTTTTCACTAGCTGTCCTCACGTTTGGACTACGCCTCCGCTTACCATCAGGTGGAGCGCAGTCATTTGCCCTCCTATACATACAAGGTCAAATTTATTTAATGGATGTGCATAATTTTTTAAAAGTGTACTCACTGGTGCTTTAGAGCTACGCAAAGCATGATTTGAGGTCCACGAAAATGTTTGTCACTACTCACCGGAACTCTAGACTCAGCAAAGCATGTTTTGGGGTACATGAAAATATTTGTCACACATCGACTAGGTTCTGGTTTATTTTAGAGATCCAGTTAAATTGATTTAAAGTTTGAGAACGCTGCCAACTGACGGTTATTTTCAAAACTGGCAGCAGAGATTTGTATCTATATATTTCGGCAGCGGTCATGCGTTGTTGAAATTCTGGAACTGCTAAAAATCTATCTTACACATTAATGGTTATTGGAAATGGCATTTTACTCAATAGACAATTTATTGAAATAGGTCATAAAATTAATTAATAGGCTTAAGCTATATTAGTTGACAGAAAGTTTAGCTGCAATGATTTTGATCAATTTTGATGTTCTTTTATGACATTTTTTTTTGACATTCATCCATAAAATGAGTAAATTATGTGGTAACATGTAAAATTGATAATTTTCTGTAATGTATAATCTAGTAATAACATAAAAATTCATATTTGCATGCTATCTATTTATGGCTCAATAGATCTTAAGTTCTAACTTAATGTAATAAAATTGTAACCTATTTGAAAAGCTGATAAATAAATGAATCTTCATCATTAGGGAGCAAGAGAAACAGCGTGGTTACGTGGTGGAAGCGTTATGTCGTAAAGGCACGGCGTTGTGCCGTTTGATAGCGCTATCCGGCCAGAGCGGGAAGGCGCCGTTGATGGATTCACTCGCGGCCACTACCGCCGATCTGCTCAAGTTCACCGATCTCACTGATGGCAAGGTAAGGAATCGGTTAACGAGTATGTTTTAACAAAATTATTGAATGGTCTTAAAAAATATTTACGGAGTTTTATTTACGATTTAGGATTTTTTTAATATAAGCTGAATATTTTAGGGAGGGTTAATTCGGCTATAGGATTTGATAAAAATACAAAATTTGAAAAATGTTCTGTATACATTCATTGTTTGCTTGTTCAATTAGTAATAGCAATTCTCTTTAGTTCGTAGGTCAATAAAAATTAAATACATTTTTTTTTTGCTTCGATTTAACAAGTTGAGGAGTGGGGGCTCGCTACGTCACAGCTTTGTAGAATATGTACAAAAGCGTGACGTCATGCGACATTTTAACTCAATGTATGGCCGTAATTTATTGATTACGCAAAAAAATTGTTTAATATTCTTAGAGTATGTTCCGATATACACTGCGAGCACTGCGCAGTGGTCTTACTGCTGAAAAATCCGTTCCGTTATGGACTGCCAGTACACTGCTACAGTACCCTAGGGAAATTTATGACGTCATAAATTGCCGCCATATTTGTACTGTGAGCACTGGAGATTTCGAGGTAAGGTGCTCGCAGTGCTTTTGATCACGTGATCAGTCGAAACAGAATCAGAAAATGATAAGTTTCTAAATAAACAAAAAAAAACTTACGTTTATTATAAGATGGATAAATATTTTTTTTATACAATTTTCCAATTTTATAATATTTTCTTTTGAAAAGAGGGAATCTTTATATTTATATTCACCTTGCAATAACAAATTTGAAAATGGCGCCAAAAATAGGATTAACGGTATACTGGACTGCGTTCCGTTTTAAAAAGTCACCAGTATAACTAGCTATAAAGGAACGGGCTTCCAGTATACTAAATTGACGTCATACTGTTCAGTGGTCGCAGTGTATATCGGAACATACCCTTAAATTCTCTCACTTTCTGATCGGAAGTGACTTATTTCCAAATTTTTTTTCTATTGCTGTTTTACTGTCGTATATGAGAGAACGTATATATGCATTATTATTTTTTGTCATCAATGTTTATTCATGTTAACAATTGTTTTTTAAAAATTAATTATAAAATGAGGTATACAATGAATACATTTTTATTAATAATAAGGAAGAGACGTATTACACAATGAACAAATAGTAGTAAAATTTTGAATACGCAACAAAAACAATGAAAACATAATCAACTAACAGGTGATCCACTTCGGTATATGGCATTGCTTCACGCTAAAACAATGGGGGCGCGCCGTGAAATTCTTACAAAAGCTCCAGGAGGAGCGGCCGTCTAAAGAAGCCGAGGAGCGTCTAGTCGACGCTTACGCGCAACTGCAGTGGCGACATCTAGCGCGCATCACCACCGCCGCCATGCCCTCCAAGTACCCACACGCATACCGCCCCTTCTGAAATCATACAAACTTAAAACACGATTTTTCTCCTCTCTAATCTCCCAGTACATGCAGCAACACGTATATTTTATTTAAATAGAAGAAAAAATTAGAACGATCTCCGGGTAGAGATTTAGTATGCTCCGAAGTTTTGTTGTAAATAAAATGAAAGTATTGAGCTTTTTGCGGTGATGAACTTTAACTTTAGTAACATAGCTACAATAAAGCAAAGTGTAGACAGTGGCGGATTTACACATTTGAAACCAGTAGGTTAGTATTTTTTTACAGTTTTATATTTTATTGCGCTCACTACGTGATGCTTGTTCCTTGAATACAAAATTATTTAAAAGTCTATGAACGGTAAAAATATAATATGCTGAATTATTTTTGTAGACCTCATAAAATACAATTACATATTTGTTTCACTAAGAGTATCACCCTAAGCTGTACTCAGAATTCTAGTAAATCCGACACTGCTTTATTTTTTTATTTTGTAACTTACACAGTTTAATAATATCACTTAACACCACATCGTCAATATTATCATACCAGTTTAATGAATATAGCTAAATATATAGTACACTTGAATTAATTATATATTTTATGGTGAAATCTACAACTAGATTAGAAATAAACAAATAATATATGTATTAAAAATACCTCATGCATGTTTGTCCTTGCGTTCAAAGTTTTAAACAAGTTGAATTATTTTATTTCATAGCTACATATTTAAACGTATATAAACTACTTGTAATTAGGAAATATTTTAAGGCGTGCCTAATGTGCTTAAGTCGACAAACATTACCGCTCAAAAGTGGCTTTTGCGAAAAAGTGCTGTAATGTAATAATTATAAAGCTCATTATTGCCAATTCGATATCATTTAACACTGCCATTTTGTAAGGTTCCGTGCAAATGTAAATAGATTTATTAAATAATAAAGCTTACAAATAGAGTCAGTTGAAATCTAATTCCTTACATTTTTAATATTGAATTTTATGTGTATAGAAATAACGAGCGAATTATTTTCAATTTTATTTTCGCAATCCTTGCGTTATGTAACATTTTTGAATAGTAAATAAAAATATCTTATGTAGGTAGTATTTATTATGTTTCTGTCAGTACTACGTCCAGTATATGCGCTACTTTAAACTTGTGTGTGTTTGTGTATCGAATGCCTAAATTTTACTAATAAACTGACTAGCCATGCAATATGCTTGGGGAATGTTGTTATTTTTATCTCTATAATTCTCTATAAGCGTATAGGAATTTCGCCCTTAACACGTGAGATATAAGGTCGTTTTTATTTGTTTGTTTTGAAACTAATTATGTCTATAATATTTCAAATCGCTTATACTTATCCGTAATAATAGCGAATGGATTTTTTAATAAGCGTGACAGTTTTTTAATTGAACATTATTGTCGTTGCGATAAAATGAATTGTATGGGTACAGAAATAAAGTTCATAATTCGTTTTTTTTATCGTGAAGAATTGAGTTCATTTATTTTAATCAGTGGTCGGAATTAGGTAGAGTTATTCATATATTACACTGATTTCATACAGCGAAAGAATAAAGTGGATATGCCTCAAATCTCGAGATTAATTTTAAAGAGCAGAAAAATCCCGTGACTTTTTAAATAAAAAGTTATTTACTTATACACAATTTAAACTAGTGCACGCACGACGTTGCCAAACTTACATCAATGACATCGGATGTCCAAAGTTGCAAAATACCTATACGCGCGATGTTGCCACGAAGGTCCACATTAATATCAACATTTCGATGCAAGTACATAAATAACTCTACCTAATTCCGACGTCTGATTTTAATAAACAATAATTAATTACCATTTTAGTGTATTATGTTTTATTAACAGGGTGCTCTTTTTGTTGTACTCAACATATGTTTTTTTAATTAAGATTAATTGTAAATGGTGTAATGGACTACATCAACGGGGAATAAATGTAGTAGAAGTTTTTCTCTCTCAATTTTATTTTCAAATTATTTTAATTTGCCAACCCGTAACTTTGACCTCAGTAGTTTAATTAGTTGCAGTTCACATCGAACAACAGTACAGGCAATCAAAGCAATAATATTGTAATAGAATTATAGTGCGTCTTATATTTATACGTGTAGCAAATAAAATTCAAAGCTGTAGTTGCTTATCCTAAAGCATTATATTGATAAAAGTCATGTATCAAATTGGAATGCGGTAAAAGACACGCATTGTATTTAGGGCAGCGTTTCTTACCCTTTTCTAGTGTACGGACCTCTAGGACATGAAGCACGAGATCTGGGGAACCCCCTCCTTGATAAATATAATCCATTTATTTTTATTGCAATAAAATTGTTTTTCGACACCTGAGTTTCTTTAAATTTGAAACACGTTAACGTGAAAGATCTTGCTGAGATTTGACATCTAAATGTATAGTTGATGTCACTATTAAGTTGCCGTGCTAAGGACTGCGGCCCCCCAGAGGACTTCAGACCACAGGTTTGGAAACGCTGTATTAGGCTACACAACTGAAAGTTTTATTACACAAATATTTATGTAATGTACATGCGCATGCAAAATCTGTTGTGTTTATTGAAATACTATTTTCTGATGCTAATTTACTTCATTTTTCAGAAAGCAAGTGTGTTTTACATTTATTATATTTTAAGGAAAATTGTTTCGAGAGATTTTTATGTTCGGTTACGTTATGTTAATTCTAATCTGGCAATGGTTATTTTATTAAACACCTATTTGTCCTTCTTTAAAATTTAGAATTTTCCAGTATTCGACATAGATGATTTTGTTTGCGCAACGAATTACAAATCTGATAACTGTGGATGATTCCACAAGAGATTTTTTAAAGTGTGTATTATAATTGCGTGTTACGTTAGTATTACAATGTCTTCTTTAATTTCTGGCTTAGTCAATATGAAAATATTTGTACAGATTTTAGGTCAGATTTGACCTTTGATTTTTTTTTAAACGCATGTGGTATAACTTTTTTTCTGTTATATTGTTCAAGCGTGCTCGCACATTGATAATAATCTGCCGAATTTACAAGTTATTAAGTCGCAGACCAGAGAAGTGAAATAAGCAAAAGTGTGTAAACACTTATTTCAGAATTTAATATTATTAATATATTCATATTAAAGTTAAACAAAAAATAGCCTTTGCTATATCAAAGAGGAAACATTTCTGACTATGTAAGTGAACTGACTGTAGAGACGTCATGGCCACTCTCGATATTGCGCGCGGAACATTTAAATGTGCGAGTACGCTTATTTTTTTGTATAATTTTCAAATATCCGCACTAGTACGTCACAATATTGTAAACAACAAACAAGAATATTTCCAATTTCTCAAATGAATTTATGGTAGTGCTTTGTGATTATGAATTTTATCGATACTTGTAAGTGGATTGTTGGTAAGGATGGAGAAATAAATATTATTTGAGGCAAACACATATTTTATTTCTTTAATGTTGTAAACTCAACATGATGGGTATGATTTTTCGATCCTTCAAATAAGATTTCTTGATCTGACACCAGATTTTGTTTCGCAATTTGTGTTATAGTTATATATATATATATATATATATATATATATATATATATATATATATGCATTTATTTATGTATGTATATGTATATCTATTATTGTATATATTTTTATATAGTTCTTATGTAGGGATATCAATAACATAATGTACATACATATCAACATTTGTGATGTCTGTCGCCACTTGTAAGTTTTGTACTAAAATTACTGGTTGACTGGTAGAGAATGCCTCTTTAGCATTAAGCCCGCCATTTGATTATTTCACTAGGCAATTAAGATTAAATAAATAAATAAATATTTTAAGCGATTTGCTTGAAGTCGCAAAAAGCCTTAAAAATTTCAAGTAATGTTTCATTCAGCCGCTAGATGTGATGCCAATATAATAGCAGACCGGGCAGTTTACTAAACGAACGGAAGTGGGATAAACTTAGCAGGTGTTTGACAATCTCGAAATCGGTTTACTACTTATCTCGACTGTCACAACATTGAGTGTATATTTAATGAAGATAATTTTTTATGAAGATGATATTTTAGTTTTTGTTAATAAAGTTCCCCTTTGTGCAAAATTCGGTGTAACATAGTTCCTCTTTAGATAAAATTTCACCTCTCTTTTAACGGAATGGAGATTTCTATTTCAGATTTCTAAAAAAATATGCACGATTTGTTCGTTAGCTACAAGAGTTTATACAAACTTTCCTTCTGCCTTGAAAATTGAAATGCTCCATACAAATTTAAACTTCTATTTTAGGGCGGTGGGGTATTTATTCGTTCGTAGGCCACAGTTGAGGTCAGACGTACAATTCTTTCAGTTGCATTTGATATTTTAGAAAAATCAATTCTATCTTGTGTAATAATAGTTTTAAAAGTGTAAAAGTGCTAAGGTTAACATCAGTTACTCTTTAATATTTGCACTCAATAGTTTTTGGTTTTCGTTCTCTGGTGTTTATACCCTCACTTTATTATAATTACGAAATAAAATAAAAAATAAAAAAAAGGAATCCAAACCTATAATATGGATTCAGCCTGCTCCTCTAATTCCGATATACCATCGATGGATGATAATACTTCTAATATTATTAGTCGCCGACTAAAAAGAAAAGGCCGAGATGAAGATCTTGACACTTCAATGAAACTCGAGAGGGCTATGACAGATATATCTTCGAAGCTAAGCCTCTTAAATTCTGATCTAAGTGGCAAAATATTGGCAGTTCAGGAAGATATAAACACCGTTATTAAAAAGGATTTAAAAACTATAAAAGCTGACATCAGTTCCATAAATTTACGCTACTCACAGTTGCAAACCGATATGGATGATGTCAAGGATACATTGAATTTCCAGGAAAAAGAATATAAGCAAATCCAGGAGGATGTTCAGCAGATTAAATTAGAATCTAAAAACTGTCACTCGCTGAAGTCTGAGGTCGCTAAATTACAAAAAGATTTGAATACGTTAGAGCAACGCGAAC